TTGAGAGATGTGTGTGGAATTTGCCAAGGTGGAGATTTGTTGGTTTTTTGGCAAATTTTGAATCTCACATTGGTTTTGTATAAGGAGGAGGGGAAATTCTTTTGTTATAAATAGAGCCCTCCTCCTTAGTTTAATATCCCACAAATATAAGCATTATTCTATATTAAAGGCTATTTGTACTCTTTCTCTCTCTTTGTAATATTTCCTCTATTAGTGAAATATTATTTTAGTAGTGTTCGAGGACGTAGGCATAATTTTGGCCTAACCTCGTTAAATTTTGGTGTTCTCTTTTATGTCTATTTAATAGCTATTGTTGGGTATAGTTGTTGTTAATTATTGTCCTATTAAAATTACTTGTTTTGGTAGTTCTGTCTAAGGAGAGTGGATTTTAAGAGGGACCATTGTGACCCCTCCACTCTTTCCTTGGAATCTACCTTGGGGTGATTTTTTAGTATAATCGTTTTCACACTAGTCACCTAGATAATAGTTTTTAAGGTGAATTTGTTATTATTGGTGGAAATTAACCCGAATTCCACAACAGGGCTTGCAAGCCCCGTATCTTGCTGTTGGTTGAGTTGTGGATAACATGCTCTTAACTTTATTTGATGGTTAACATGTATGAAACATGGCCTGAACTTCATTTCGAAGTGCGTTTGAATATGAAATCCTTGTGATATAAAGTGATTTCTGGTGGTTTTGTCCTTTCCTTGTAGCTCTCTAATATCTGATGATGGAGTTTCAGTTGAATTTGTGATCCACGAGCAAATAATAGCATAAATGAGCATTCAATTGTACGGGATACATTTTGTTGGAAAAATAACGTTTTATAAAGTCCAGAGACCTCGGTTTTTCAAAAAATCTCAATCCAACATTTCTTTGTTATAGAAGTTTAAGCCTTAGGGTAGTGCACTTGGGCTCTGGTAAAAGCAGCTTTGAGGAGCCCTCTCATGCACTCAAAGAAAAAAAAATGTGGTTCCATTTAGTATGATGGAGAAAATGGTTTTGGCGGAAAAAGCAATTAGAATTACTTAATCGAAGCAAATCATCTGTGCATATTAATTCAAGGATTTAGAACATTATGGTTTTCACAATTAGAATAAATAATCAAGAAAAAACATATGTTGAAAATAACTGATTAGGAGGAGCTTGGTTTCTCTCACTTGACCCTTTAGTATTTGATCAATTTGATTTTGGAGAAAACTTATGTTAAAGATGACCGATTAGGAAGAGCTTAGTTTCTCTCACTTGACCCCTTAGTATTATGGGTAGAGAGAGGACCTAGTTTTTATTGAAGAGTTTCACTTGTTTATATTAACATCATAGCTCTTCACGTTCAACTCACATCTCTTCATATTCAGTTATTCTCATCCTTTCACAATAGGATTTAAACACTTAATATTATTAAACACAATTATGATTATATTTATACATGTTAACATCACATTTATTATGTAACTTCATATCTCTTCATGTTAACATCATATCTATTCATATTCACATTCCATCAATATGAATTAAAATGTCTCTTTAATTAACCAACAGGGTTTAAACACTTAATATTATTAAACACAATTACTATTATATTAATATATAAAATATAATTACAAACACTTACTATTATATTTATATATGAAATATAAATACAAAAGACTAATATCACATATACGACCAAATATAAAATTATCTAACAAAAGCATTGATGCTCTTTATGATTCTATGCTGGAATTCATGTAGAAAGTTATTTAAAGGCCTTTCTGATGTTTCTTTCTCGAGGAAAATAAAGCTCTAATTCATCTATAGAAAGAACCGATACATAAAGGCATTTATTAATGAGCATATTGCTGCTCATGCAGGAGGAAATTGAGATAGAGGCCAAGGCATTGCGTGTTGGGAAGACTGTTGCCGTCATGACTGTCGAGTTTCGGAAGAAAAAGACTGGGAAAATTATTGCACAGGGACGTCATACTAAATACCTCTCTGGCCAAAGTAAAATGTGAACTGCATTTCTATCTGAACTATTGTCATTGCATAACTCCTTTTACCACGAATGAATCACTGCATTTATTAATATATAACTTCACCTTCAGGCTTCAGCTGAATTGCATTTCAAGCTTCTTGCTTGCTCCTGCTCTGATATTCAGTGTATTGAACATCTTCACTAGTTGATTTCCTATTTATGGTTTCCATTTTCTATTGTGCACACATTATCGAATGCATCTCATCTAGACCGTCGACTGATCGATTAAGGCTTCGGGTTTATTTTCTTTGCTATATAATCTGAACAACTGCAGACTGATAGTATCTTATGCAGTTTCGATGCAACAGATACTAGGTTCGATTTTGTTGCCTTTAGTAGTTTGCATCCGTTCTTGAATGCACTCTGCAAAACCCAGTCATGGTTGTGTTGGAAGATTTGACCCTGTTTTTTTTAGTAGGATAGTTATTTTAGTTAATGGAATGGAATAAAAGGTTGTGTCTTGGAGCACATTCCCAAAGCCAGTAGCCTTTAGATGACAATATCCATACTTAAATGGTTTATCCTTTGTTTATTAAATAATTAACCATCGGATATCCATCATCTAAATCCTACATGAATTTTAAAATAACTAGACGAATTCGGATTTGAATATTATAAAAAATTCGTTTTTTAAACCCAACAATAGGATGACTTGGACCGAATCAAAGTCTATACATAAGGGTAAATTATTAATAGTTTTTAAATATTTAGGGTGTTTGCATTATAGTCATTACTTTTAAATTTTGCATCGTACTGAAGTAGCGTGGCTACGTGTTTAACAAAAGGTGAGTTAATATGTCGGTTGAATTAGAGAAATAATACTCTTCAAAAAAATTGCAAAATGAGGGTGCTCTAGAATTAATTAGGGGAATGAGATTATTGTTGCAGTAGAGTTTTTTTATTTATTTATAATTTTGGGATAAATAATAAAAAAATCAATTTTAAAAGACTAAACCAGGAATTTTTAAAAATCATTGCTATCACCAGCATCCTCATCACAATCATTTCCCTTAAAAGAGTTTTTTTTTGTTGAAAAATTACGTTATAATCTCATAGTTTTTATTTGTTTTTTCCTTTTAAGCCTATTCAGCCTTTCTGTTTGATTTTCCTTTCTTATTGGTAATTCTTTTAAGAGATTTATCTGTCAACTGATTCCAAAATCACTAGAGCACTTTCTCTTATTGAATTTAAGAGACTTTTTTTGTTATTTAATTTCATTTAACATTCTTTTCCGCAAAAGAAGTTAGGGTTTTAAAATGGATTGAATGTTGGTGTTTACCTCTCATTATTGCTCAAGGTAACCCTCTCTCTTCCGCCATCGCCGTAATTTCTCGTTTGCCAATCGTTTTCTTTTCCCCCCTCAAATGTAAATTATTTCATCCACTGTTCTGCTTGGTTGCCAGAAAAAAAGAGAGGAAAAAAACCAGGGAAATAAGATTACGAATTGAAAGTTGATGTTTTAGTGGGTTGTTTTTATTTTCTGATTCTTTTTCTCTCTGGAGAACTTTGTGTAGAAGTTTGATCCTTTTCTCCAAAAGCCCTTGATTTCGTTTTACACTGGAAGAGGAATACTTTCAGTGAAGAAGCTGACTTTAGATTCTAGAAACCTTTTGATTAATTGGAAAGCACCATTGGTTGGTCAAATAACATATAGTGGGCAGTGGGGTCAGGTTATATGTAAGCGACAAAACTTTGTTGGCTTAGAAGATCTTTGAATGTAATTACTGATAAAATAAAAGACGTGGTTAAGCTTGTGGATAACTAGAGTTAGGGAATTGCTACTGAACCTATGAGAATGGTGGTGGTGCTTTGCTTCTGGCTTTGAAGTCTAGACGAAGGCACCAAGTTTTTATGCTGTCCTGTTATTTGAATGTGATTTTCCGGATAAAATACTGGTTTGAGAAGAAATGTACTTCTACGGCTTTACCCCTTTGTCTAGGACACAACAACCACTGCATTTGAACAACTATTCAACTACTAGTAATACTGTATAGTGGCCTGCATGTGTAGGGTAATAGTTAGTTGACTGCCTTTCACAGGCAGGGGTGGGCCGGTGGCTTAAATCAAGGAATCATGCTATATTGGTTTTGTCAAGGTTAAGTGTGTGACATTCTAAATTTGGTGCTGCTTATCTTCACCCTTGGCTTGGGGTTTGGGTTGGGTTGGATGTGAATGGGACACCTGTTGGGTTTGCAATACCTTTATAGTTCAATACTCTATTTACATTGGACTAACTTTTTAAAGTTCCCGATTAGATAGATCAATTTCAAATGGAAGAATCTGTTGTCTTTTGTCTGCATTTCTTTCCTGGCTTTCCTTAGGTGGTCCATTCAGTGATAGAGCTAGAGTTCTTCACCAGGTTGATTGAGTGATCGACCAAAGGGGAGGGCTTGAGAAGGAGCATAACATTGAAACAACGTGAAGGCGATAGGCCAACAGATGCATATCCTTTTTTATTTGTCTTCTGTTCTTTGTTACCTTGCTTCACATCAAAATTTTTCTAGTGCGATGCACTAAGGCAGTCCATTTAGATTGTTTACTGGTTGCTTTATTTCCCGGGGTTAAGGGTGGGGATGTCCCAACTCTAGTTTGGCTTTGAAAATTTTGAAGGTGCTTTTGGTCTCCTAAAGATTCTCTACGGTATTCCTCAACACTGCTTCTGTTTCCTCTTTAGTTTCGTAGGATTACACCTTGGCTTGTGGAGGCAATAATCCAATCCATTCAAATGTTTATGTTTCCAAGTTCAATTCAGATATTCTACGGTTTCTAGAGATCATTTATTAATTGTAGTACTTGAAAAAAATATTGCAATCATTTTAATTTTTTTATTTTGCTGTTTGTAATTAAGAACTGAAATGCTTTGAGGTAATGAGTATATTGATCCAAATATGATACAGTACAAAATATAGTAAAGAAAATGAAAACCAGTAAAACTAAGAACAAGAAAATTAGGTTCGGGGTAGAACCATTAATGAATTATATCAAAGTACGATGGCTAAAGTGATCTAAAAGACAGTTTGTACTACGTTACAGGAATTTTAATCCCTGCTCTTATTCTCTGAGGATGTTCATGTTTAGGAGAATTGTTGCTTGCATTAGTCAAATTTCTCAGTGTTATTTGTAACTGTAAATATGGGTGTGTCAGAACTGTGCTGAAGTTGTGAAGGAATAGCTGAAAGATCTGAGAAAGGGTTTTGTTGGTTTGAACTGAAGTAGTACAGGATGGCAGAGCGGGGTGTCTGCCGGCAAGTTAAATTATTCAGCTCTCTAGGAGATAGCCCTGTTAAACAGTTACCTGGCAAAATCGAGGAAGAATATGATGAAGATGATAAAAAACATGTGAAAACAATGTTGATTTCATGCCCAGAAGTACGGAAGAGAAGGTGCCTTTCTTCCAGCCATCTGAGAAAAGAAAAGACTGCCAGATGTGCGAAACAAAGCCCAAGTAATGGTTCTAACAAGGGAAAGAAAAACAAACATAAAAATTCTATAGAGAGATGGTCTGCTGAAAGGTGAAAACTCATTTACCCACTGGTTAATTCTCCCTTCTGTTCATGCTAAAATTTCTTATATTTGCTACGAATATTGAAGGTATAATCTGGCTGAAGAAAGCATGTTAGAGATCATGAAGGCTGAAGGGGCTGTGTATGAGAATCCAATATCTCGGCCTGCTTTGAGAATGGCAGCCCGTAAACTTATTGGTGATACTGGGCTCTTGGACCATCTGCTGAAGCACATTGATGGTAAGGTAGCTCCTGGTGGTACTGATAGGTTTCGGCGTTGTTACAATACTAGTGGAGTGATGGAGTATTGGCTAGAGAGTGCTGACCTGGCCAACAAGCGAAAGGAGGATGGGGTTTCTCCATTTTGGCAGAAACCTGACGGGGCTCCCTTTCAGGCTTCTTCTTGTGCTATGGAACTCAAACTACTTAAGGAAGAAATGGCAAAAATGAAGAGGTGAGAAAAATAAGTAATGGTTTTTAAAGATGAAGCTATTGATTATTTTGTTTTTATCATCTCAACTACCCTATATTCTTTGCAAACAGGGATATGCAGGAGCTGGTTTTCAAGCATCAAGATCAAGATCAAGCTAATTCAGTTGAGGTGAATGTGGAAATAGTTTGAAATGAAATTTTAATTGTATCATTAAGATAAGTTGCTGGTCTTGAATTCTTTATTGCACAGGAGATGCAGAAAGAAATGGTGAAATGGAAAGCAAACACAGATAAACGCCTGATGGAGTTTACAAGCTCATTGAATGGTATGCAGGTAAGGTAACAATACCCTGTTTTCAATCAGTAAATTTGTGCTAAGAACTAATGACATGGAAAGCTAGAGTTGAGCAGCAGATGCTGGAAATTTCAGATTCATTGAGCAGTCTGCAGGCATCAAAGCAATGCACTATATTTAGTCCTTCAACTTCTGAAAGATGGGAAGATTGGCTGGAGAGCACCAACCTGGACAATTTTCAAGGGGGTAACTTGGGACCCTGGTTAGACAATCCAGAGCTAATTAATTTCGGGCAGGATGTAGTTCAAGATTCAGATCTGGCTCCACTAGCATGGCAACGAACTGGTCCTAGCCCCTTTGAAAACCCCGTTTGTGCTCAAGATTTGGATATGATTAATGAAGAGATGGATAAAATAATGAGGTAATGAAACATTCGTGACCAAATTTGAGATAAGATTATCATGCTTAACGTTGGTGCTGCTCTCTTTTGTTTTATGAACAGCACTGTGCAGGAGCTAGGAGTACCTAGGAGGCAAGGGGAAGACCAAGTTAATGTGACACCTGATTCATCTGTAACTGCCAATTCTAAGATGGATCTCAATAATTCGTTGTTTCTGGTTGAGGTGATGTCAAACAAAGGTTTTTTCAGACATACATAAAATGGTGAATTTCCAATGCATATGATTCTTAGATATACTTATAAATCTTTATAATCTTGCTCGTGATAAACTGTCAATGGATTTGCATGTGATGTGAAGGGCCAATTTGGAATCTCCTCTTTTGACAGGAAATGTTGAAGGACTTGGTGAAGTGGAAAGCTAAAACTAAGCAACAGCTGACAGATATTTTGAGTGCAGTGAGTGTTCTGCAGAAATCGAGGCAGTAAATTCTCTTCTTTGTCTCTTCCAACTTCCCGTGAGAGGAGAAAATATGTTTCAATCCCCTGATATGCCCCCTCCCATCTTTTTCTTCTCTGTTTCGGGATAATGCTTAAGTTAAAATTTACATTAGTCGGATATAGATTTCGTATAGGACTCAGATACTTGAGCCGAGGCCCTGCTGCACTTTCGATACATCGAACCTTTAACCTACAAAGCGATAACTTATATTTGTGAGCTGCAAGTTGTCAATATCATGTTCTCAGAGTAGAATCCTGAACCTCTTTTCCAGCTCTAGATTTTGTGTAGTTTTCTATATATATTTTCCAAGTACATGGATGTGGATTATTGCTGCTTCAGTGGTTTGATGCAAGTTGACTACATGAGACGGTAATGGCCAATTCAAGAATCAATATTAAGGGCTTTTATTTCTTTTAAAAAAAAAAGGTCACAAATAATCTTGAAGGACAGAAATTTAAACAAAAATTACAAAAAGAATCCTTAATTTTCAAAAAAAAAAAGTTTTAATGATTTATATTATATATGATAACCTCTTAGCTTTCCTTAATTTGCTATTTTGTTTTCATGGTTTTGCGTTATTTAATGTTTGTTTCACAATTCATAGACAGTTGTTTGTCACTTTTTCTTTTAATTTACTCAATAAATGGCTCAGGTGGTATCTCTTTCAAGGAAAAAAAAATAAGAACCCATTTGTTATATATATATATATATATATGGGGTGATTAAGAGTAGTATGTGTTTAAAGTATTTCGATCATTTGATAGTGAATGCTCATACTTTTATATACGCGATGTTCGAAACTAAAATTTTAAAGAATAACAATAAATTCTTCGTTGAGGTTGTTTAGTCATGTTAAAAATGTGTTTTTATTAATTGGCATTATAGAATAGATTTTATATCTTACGTCATTTTCTCCTAATTTTGTAATAATATAAAACCAAATTAAGGGTTGTCGCTTTAAAAGGAAAATTAAATAAATTTGTCGATGAAATGTGTGATGTATTATCGAGGGATATTATTTTTGGTTGAGAGAAGACGAGTTATCTTTTGTACCATCTCAATTTCAACTCAGTAGTTAGAGGTTCTCATTTGAATTTATCTGGACATGTGGTGATATTTTACCTATTTGAATTCTAAGATACAAATTTATAGATTCAAATTATATTTTTATTCGATAAAATAGAAAAATAATTGAAAAGATAATATAGAGGGTATATAATTATTTCTTTATATGTAAAATTAGTTGACCCTTATTCCCCTATATAATAGGGTAAGCGAGAGGTAGGATAGTAGACTGCCCCAACACCAGATTGAGAACAACTTTTGTGGGAGACCTCCAAATTATGAAATGTCCTCCGTAGGACTCCATCTCACGACCTCAAGATTAAGAACCTTGCACTCTACCAACTGATTTGAATAGTCATTTCTATTTCTTTATACGTAAATTATAATAATTATCCTTTATCAAGTTCGATCGATAAATTTTTATCATAAACTTGATTATTCCTCGATCATGACTCTCTCTTTCATAAAATCCATCTTGAACCCGTACTTGTTTAAAAAATGATGATAGTTCAGATTAAAACTCATAAATTTTAAATAAATTGGCCATCTTTAATCTTAATTAACATTAGATCCCATTGGGTATCGGACAACAAGAAATAAATTTGAAGCATGGACCAGAAGATATGGATATGTTCAATTTAGACAAGATAGTTGGGCCAGCCCACTTCTACTGCAGCTCAAAATGGATTGCCGTTTGCTCAAGTTAGCTCCAATAAAAAAACACACACACTTTCTCTCTCTCTACTACCGTCGGAAAGCCGAAAGCCTAAGGTCAGTGCCCAGTTTTTTCTTAATTGATTCGTCAATATTTTGTTTGGATCTTGGATGGATGCTTGAATCTGTTTGAAATTTGAGAAACCGTCCACTGAAAAATGTTTTAGAGTATTTATATCCATGGCGATTTGCGAGTTAAAATGGGTGTTAATTTATGTCTTTATGATCCAATACTTGCTTGGTAGCTTTCTGGTTCTTCCATCAGGTTTATTCTAGCGTTTTACTTTGAGATAATTGACTGAGTATGATGAAGGATTGAGAGGGGAAAAAAGAAAAATCTGAAAGGGACAGAGAAGATTTATATCAGTTAAGATATTCTATTAGGGTTTTCCGTATGCAATTTGGATTGGGCGGGTGCTACACAGAACTGGTGGAGTTCAAAACGTCTCTGAAAATTGAAAAACCTTCTGCCTTTTTCAGATTCAAACTGACGAAAATGAAGGAGAAAGAATATATAACAAATATAAGATTGCTTCCTTAAAAAGAATAATAAATATAAGATCGCTCGGCGTGCATACATCAGTTTTGGAAAATCTACTTTCTCTTCGTTCTTGGATGTTATGATGCCATGTCATGTGCTTGATTTACACATTTAACTGCTTTCTATTACTTGCATTTTGAATGATTAATGCGTGAATTAGAAGTGTGGCTTGTGGATGTCTCTCATTATATGTTTTTGCTGCTCTAAGTGGCGTTTATCTTCTCGGTTAACTCTGTGTGAAGAAAGAAATTGCCATGGTAAAAATGGATTTGATTTGATTGAATGAAAAACTATATGTTGTCCTTTGTTCCAATGTGACTAGCTCTTTTTTCTCCTCTGTTTTTAGATAACTTTTTATATTAGCCTTAACAAAAATGTCTCGGAGATATGATAGCCGCACAACAATCTTTTCCCCCGAAGGTCGTCTCTACCAAGTAGAGTACGCAATGGAAGCCATTGGAAATGCTGGCTCTGCAATCGGAATATTATCAAAGGATGGTGTCGTCTTGGTTGGTGAAAAGAAAGTTACTTCCAAGCTTCTTCAAACCTCCATGTCTACGGAAAAGATGTACAAGATTGATGATCATGTTGCTTGTGCCGTAGCGGGAATAATGTCCGATGCAAACATCCTCATCAACACTGCTCGGGTGCAAGCACAACGCTACACATATGCTTACCAAGAGCCAATGCCTGTTGAACAGTTGGTTCAATCTCTCTGCGACACAAAGCAGGGTTATACGCAGTTTGGCGGTCTCCGCCCTTTTGGTGTTTCATTTCTTTTTGCAGGATGGGACAAGAACTACGGATTTCAACTTTACATGAGTGACCCTAGTGGGAACTACAGTGGATGGAAGGCTGCAGCTATCGGTGCCAATAATCAAGCAGCTCAGTCGATGTTAAAACAAGATTACAAGGACGAGATCACGAGGGAAGAAGCCGTGCAACTTGCACTGAAAGTGCTGAGTAAAACCATGGACAGCACGAGCCTTACTTCGGAGAAGCTTGAACTGGCTGAGGTTTTCCTCACACCTTCCGGGAATGTGAAGTACCAGGTTTGCTCACCCGATTCGATGAGTAAGTTGTTGCAGAAGTTTGGAGTGACCGAACCTGCAGCCGAGACTTTGTAAACTTTGTTTCTGTTCATCGTTTTCTCGGAGCAGGCTTATCATCATCTTCTTGTTTTATCTATTGTTATATTCTGTCAAACGGAATTCAAATCTCTGTTGGATCGTTAATGTTGCTTGCTGTGTTTTAGACTTGGAATTTATTTATGACCGTTTGTTCAGCTGAAGGAAATGACGTCTTCATTGGTTTGAATAACGGTTATTTGGGTACAAGCTTGATTGGTATATCCCAAGATCATATTTTGAGTGTTTATATATACAGGGGAACAAAATTCAACTCAAAAAATCAAATTTTTTTACTCAACTTGCATTTGAAAAAAATTTAAATACGAATCGAGTTATAAATAAAACACGAACAATAACTCTTATAACTAAAAAAAATTAATAATTAATGTATTGAAATTTAAGTTGAATTAAGTCCTTCAATTATGTAATATATATATATATTGTATATGATTCTAAAAAAATATTTAAATTAGAATTAAATAATATTACAATATAATAAATATTTATAATTAAATTTAGGGTAATCTATGTCAAATACCACTAACCTTTATGCTCGGGATAAAAAATGTCGCTGACGTTTCAATTTTGTCAATTTTAGCACGGACGTTTATGTTTCACTTCAATTTTGTCACTCCACCGTTAATCCGTTAACGGCTCGATGACATGGCATGGATGGGTCGTGACAGCGATGACATGGACGGTTTATTAAAACGACGTAGTCTTGCCAATTACTATTTGTATTCCTAAAACGGTGTAGTTTTATAGTTTTGTGTTTTATTATTCCCGAAACCCATTAAACAATTCATTAGTATTCCAAAAAAAATTAAAACTTTGCGTTGGTTTCCCAAATACAATCCATCAGATGAATGAACCAGAAGTTTTCTTGCATTTCGTTCATTTGTATTCCAAAAGAGTCTAAAATTTCTCTCAGACTAAAAAAAGATTTCCTTCATTTCATCTATGACTGCAAAAGCAAATGGAGAAACGATTCTTGCGATCGAAAGGAATGGCGAGCATGAAATACGGTAATGGTGTTTGAAAAGCCACTGATGTTTTTTTTTTTTGAAATACTTTTAGGGTTTTTTTTTATAAAAACACTCTATCTCTAACTATTTGTTATTTTCTTCGTTAATTATGTAACTTAAATATGATTTTATTTCTGTTGTTGTATTCCAAAAGAGTCTAAAAGAACTGACAGTGTTATGACTTTTATTTCTGTTTTTGAAATATGGTTTTATTTCTGTTGTTGATTTCCCACATGATTTTTATTCCACTGCATATGACTGTATTGAACGAATAATTGTTGTATTCCAAAAGAACTGACAGTGTTTTATGCCGGTGCATATCAATGTAATTATTTGTTGTATTCCAAAAGAGTCTAAAATATGATTGTTGTTGCTTTCCCACGTGATTTTTATGCCGGTTCCTATGACTGTATTGAATGAATAGTTTATCCATATAAATGTATATTGGTGGATATTGGTTATTTTTAAACCTTTTTATAGTCGGTGATTGTTGCATCAAATTTGTTGCATGTATGATTAATTGTTCTAAAGTTGTTGTAGATGCTCGTTTCTGTCCGGGGCCAAGTCGGAGCAGACCCGAAGCAATGAGAGCCCAGATGAGCCCAAACCAGATGGAGGTCCATCTCAAACCCGATGGACAGCAGCAGCATGCTAAAGATGAGAGAAATTGGGGTCAGTTTTAGCAGTTAAAATTAACCACTAGATAGAGAGTGGGGGTCAGTTTTGAGGGGGTTTTTAACCACTAGAAACTATCAACCATGGAAAATCATAGAGAAAAGGAGGGAACGGATAGAACAAAGGGGGCGTGATCAGAAATTAAGGAAGAACGGGACGAAATAGAGAAAAGACAGAAAAGAGAGGATTACAGGGAGAGAGAAGGGTAAACAAACAAAGGAGAAAAATCATCAACAACCAAAAGGGGGGGATAAATTGAAGTCAGTGAAATCAAAGGATCGGCTTTTCCTTTCATTTTCTACACGTAGGACAGCACAACAAATTCCTTTTTCATTTTCCTTTGTAACAGAGGAAAGGTAAGTGTTAAAACTCATTTTTGTATTTGAGGCGTTTTTCTATATCTATAAAAATCAATGGAAATTTCTAAAGAATATTCGATTCTATTTTAGTCTATAGTGTATGGTATTTGTGTGTGGGTATGTGAGTACTTTGGAATGGAGATATAAGGATAAAGGGAAGAGGGTAGTCTTACCTTAGGTGTGGTGTTTTTGTTTATGTAATATTATGCCTTTGGTTTTCATTGTCGAGCGTCGGAGAGGTAAATCTGATAAGTCGGTTGGGTGAAGACAGCGAGCTTCTAAGGTCCTTGTCGAGTGAGTGAGAAGATAAAAACAAGATTCTCGGTTTATATGGCTTAGCTTGGGTTTTCCTCTTTGTTGATTGGTTGTCGTCGAGTGGAATGGCCACCGAGTGGTGGCCGATGCGACCGTTGTGAGGATTAAATAGGAAAAGGCTGTCGTTGTTTCCAAGATGGTTGGGGTAGCCAACCGTGTATTGTGATGTTTGGAAAGCAGTGTCGTTTGAGAAGAAAATGGGAGAGTTGAAAGCAAAGAGAGAGCGGCAGGGAGTGATAGTTAGCTTAGGTTTAGTTTTATTTAGCTTTTATATTAAGATATTTGGGTTAATTAGTGTTTAGCCATTAATATTTTAGGATGAAACTATTATTTGGTCCATGTGTTGATTTTTTTTAGCTTCGATTCCACCATTAATTTTTGTGAGTATTTAATTTTAGCCCCTTGAATCTAATTGTTTTGAATTTTCATTTTTTATACATTTATGATATTTATTTTGAGAATTACATTTTAGTCTAATATGAGATTAGGGATTTATTTTAATTTCAGTACATGGAATGTGATAGTTTATATATTTGGACTTGATTTATATTAAATTTATGATTTTAATTTCAAAGTTATGTATCCATTTATTTTTTGTCCTTAGGTTATTATTATTATTATTATTATTATATCATGATAATATATGTATAAGGGTATTATGAAAAAATAGTGTTTAATTAAATAGATTTTACATGGATTTTAATAAATTATAATTATATTAAGTAATTTTTGTTAATAATTAAGTAATTTGTAACATATGTATATATATATTTATTAATGGTTTTTTTTAAAAAAAAAATTCTTTAAATAAATTAACCTTACGGATATTAGCATTGCTTTTAAAAAGTCATTAGAATATTAAATTTTATTGGTTTTTAATATATTTAATATTATTTTCTATAATTACATTTGTTTTGTTTACTTATATCATTTTATTAATTAGTGGTATTGTAATTTGCATGCTAACCTCATTTGCATAACTCGACTTATTACATAATCGGACTAAGGGTAATACCCTTTTAATTTAAAATTGTCTTGAGTGGTATGTCTTAACTGATTAGAGGGCCGTTTTGATGATTTTAAATTAAAAGTGTATCCCGAAAGTGAAACAAAAAAAATTGATGCGTCACTTAAAATTTGGGAACGAAAGAAAAGGAAGTGTTCGTTTATTTAAATTTATCGAGAAAAGGTTGTTATAGCTTTTAAGATCTGGTCTCGATATTTGTAAATAATCGAACACTCTTTATCTTTCTAAAACGACTTGGTAATTTTAATTTAATTTGTTTGAGTGCTGTTGAATGTTTTTAAATTTATACCTTTGTTTTATGGGATCAAAAATCAAATTAAGTTCGAATTTGTAAAGTTCATTGCAAAAACGTTAATTAATCGACTAGGTACCGATTTAGGACGTTGTGGGGGTGCTAATCCTTCCCCATACGTAACCGACTCCCGAACTCGGATTTTGGTAACGCAGACCTCAATTTGTTGTTTTAATTAAAATTAATTTTTATTTAAAATGACAAAACATTTTTGGGTGCCCAATCACACCCTAATCAAAGATTGGTGGCGACTCTTTGAACCGTATTTTTCGATCGTAAAGGAAATCCAAATTTTTTTTTGAAACGAGAGGTCTTTTAAATCGCATTTGTTTTTAAATTAAAAAGAGATAATTAAGAATTAATGTGGTTTTCAAAATCTCACCTTTTTTCACCTTTTAAGAAAAAATCGTTTCGACAGTTGTCATCATAAATTTTAGTTTTTTACAAGTCATACGCTTGCCCATCTACTGGTTTTGTGTACTTGTTTGCTATCAGTGTTGTAAAAGTAGTGTAAGGGGACCACCAGTATTGTAAAGTAAATTTTTAATGCTGACTGATTTTTTAATGCAGTTTGACAGGTAGGGAATCTGAATATTTCACAATTGTTATGCACCATGGTGTCTTTATAATAAATTCATCTGGTTTTAAATACACTGAAAAGGAGGTAAGTTTTATTTATATGTGCCATGTGGACAGTATGTCAATACTTGAAATGTATGATATTGTGGAAGAGTTAGGTTATTCGGGTTTGTGGCATTTGTTTTGGAAACAATCTGGGCATAAATTTACTGTTAAGCCATTAAGAACAGATTGTGATATCATTAGCATGTTAGAAGATATGCCCAGGAATAGGCACATTCATTTGTACTTAGAAGAAAATGAAGCAAACTTCTCGAACGAAACCATTGAAACCAAATATCAGAATGCAACTGAAACTCATGAAACTGTTATAACTGAAATGCATGAAACTCATGAAACTTATGAAACATTCATGACTGAGTTAAACTCTGAAGAAGATACATAATATGTTGACGATGACATTGATTCTTCTGTAAGTGATTTTGAATACAGTGAAAACAATGTGAGTGAGGAAGAGGAGTTTATACATGAGGTATATGTGGGAGTAGATTTTGAAAGAGATTTTAATGGGTTAAACAATAGAGATGAGGGAAATATTAATGCATCTTTGAATTATGAAAATGAAACTGATGGAGTAGAGTCATTGCATTCTGAAAATGAATCTGATTTTGAGTCCGACTCTGATGGTCAAGGAAAACATAGATGTCCTGAGTTTAACGATGAAACTGATATGGAAAACCCACAATTTAAAGTTGGAATGATTTTTGGTGATAAGTTGAAGTTCAAAGAGGCTGTCAGGCAGTATGGGATTAAGAATAGGGTTAATGTCAGATTCAAAAGAATTGACAGTGTTAGGGTGCATGTTGTTTGCAATGAAGGGTGTCCGTGGTATATTTGGGCATCAAGGGTTGATCGAAAAGATGAAACAAACACCTCATGGTAGATTAAGTCTTATGTAGGAGATCATAATTGTTTGATGGGTTTTAAAAATAAAAATGCAAGCTATAAGTGGATGGCTAAAACATATCTTGAAAAATTTAAGGCTAATCCTCAGTACCCAATTACAGCTTTAAGGCAGGATGTATTAGAAGATCATGTGTATAAAGTGTCATTGAGTAAATGCTTGAGAGCTAAGCACTTAGCTCTTGATATGGTCCTTGGGAGTCACAATGGTCAATACTCAAAGATATATGATTATCTTGGAGAATTGAGGTCTTCTAATCCTGGAAGCACAACCATTCTAAAATTGGATAATAGGGTGTTTGAAAGAATGTACATATGTTTACAAGAATGCAAAGAAGGTTTCAAAGGTTGTAGACCTATAATTAGCATCGATGGTTGTCACCTTAAGGGCTATTATAGAGGTACTCTTTTGGCTGCTGTTGGTATTGATGGTAATGACAGCATCTATCCAATTGCTTATGATGTTGTTGAGAGTGAAAATGAATCATCTTGGACTTAGTTTCTTTTACTGTTGGCAACTGATTTGGAGATTGAAACCTCCCATAATATCACATTTATGTCAGACAAGCAAAAGGTAATTTTGATTTACCCTTTAATTATTTATTTCGGTCTGTTATGAATAATTTTTCTAATACTTTGAGTCATGTTTTTTAGGGACTCGTTGAGACAATGATGCATGTTTTACCTAATGTTGAACATAGGACTTGTGTGAGACACTTGTACTCCAACTTTAAGAATAATGCTCAATTCAAAGGAAAGAACCTAAAGGATGCACTGTGGAAGGCAGCTAGAGCTACCTACAAAAAAGAGTTTGAAGATGCAATGGATGAACTGAAAGCATTATCAAAACCAGCCTTTGATTGGTTGCATGCAAAAGACCCTGTCCAATGGTATAAATCTCATTTCTCCCCAATGAGTAAATCAGACATGCTTCTCAGCAATTTGTCGGAGCATTTTAACAAGGTAAAATGAATAAAATTATTTAAATATGATTATATTACAATATGATTCTAAGCCATTTTTTTGGTTCTGTTACAAGGTGATTCTGGAAGCTCGCGATAAACCAATTTTGACTTTAATGGAGATGATTAGGACCAAGATAATGGAAAATATTGCCAAGAAAAAGGAAGTTGCAAACAAGTACACTGGAAGTTTGTGTCCAAGAATCCAAAAGAAAATTGAACTTGCAATTCAACAGTCCACTAGGCATTGTTAAACTATTTATTCTTACTAATATGTATGTATTGTTAAGTTTGTTTCCAATTATAACTTTAAGTTATTTATTCATGATTCAATTTTATGTGTAGGTGTTGGCCTACACACGCAGGAGGTGAAAAATATCAAGTGTCTGCTGGACCATCTAACCAGCATGCTATTGATTTAGAAAATCATTCATGCTCATGTAGGAAGTGGGATCTCACTTGTTTGTATCAAGTGTCTTATGTTACAATATTGTTCTCATTTACTTTATTAATTTAACAACTTTTATTTCTTTCATTGATAGGAATCCCATGCATACATGTTGTTTTTGTAATGGTGTTAAATAATCAAAGGCCTGAAACTTATGTTCACAACTCTTATTTTGTAACCACTCAGCGAGAAATTTATAATCACTTCATTCAACCCATGAGAGGCCCCAATCAGTGGCTAACTGACACCACTTGTGAACCAGTTATACCACCAACAATTAGAAGACCACCAGGAAGACCTAAAAAAAGAGGAGAAAGGAAGCGAATGAGCCTACAAATTCTCACGCTACAATGAGCAAGAAAGGTCTGATGATGTATTGCTCCAAGTGTGGTCAACCAGGACACAACCAAAGGTCCTGCAAAGGGATAGTTGGAGGCAACATGCCACCTAGGCGACCTAATTCCAACTCAACAAGGGAAACCAACGAAAGAAGGGTTGAATCAAAGCACATCCGGAGAAAACTACATGTATATATTTCTTATTTTTTTTAACCTTATATCACAATTACAATTATGTTTTGAGATTTTGGTACACTTATGACTACAGGTTAGGAGAAGAACTACAACAACGATTACACCATCATCAAAGGTTGCAACATCACAAGCACCATCATCACAAGCACCATCATCATCACAAGCTGAGCCTCCATTTGTCTTTATTCCTACTCCAGGCCACACATTTTATCCAACCGACCACCAAACAGAAAATGTAATGACAGTTAGATGGATGTCACCCTCACAAGAAGATGTGAATGCCAACCAACAATTAAGCCAGTTAAGCACTATAACCCAGACTTCCCAAGAAGACTGTCGAACTGTTTTTGCAAAACGACCAAGGATGTTATAGGTTGCTATTCTCCAACTTTATGTGGATGATTTCAGAACTTAGAAACTTGGGTTGATATTTTGGATTGAATACTTAAGTTTATGAACTATATCTTTTGAACACATGTGTTTATTCACATTGATATTTTGTTTCATATTTTGCTGGGTTTTATAGGTTGATACTGTTTTAACTTAAGTGCTTATGTGCACTTTATGTTTTTGTACACATCTGTTGATTATCAACCACAACTCTAATTGAATGAAATTTATTTTGTTTATCATTCATGTTTGACATTTTAAAGATAAAAAAACTGTAACATCAAACCACCAAATCACCAAGTTTTTTTAACAAGCAAAGCTCAACAGTTAATTTTACAAAACCATCTAGCAAACACCATCATTTTTAACAAGCACCAACCCGTTAATCCTAAAATTTTCACCCTCAATTTTTCGTCCCATTACAAACCAAAAGTACTATCATCACAAATTTCACCCTAAAATTTTATCTCCATCACCATTGTTGTACGTACTAACCCAATACAAACCCTAAAATAAAAAAAAACATTCCAAACAATTCTCTCATTCCTCCTCCTAATTTCAGTTGCTTTGATTTTCTTCAACAATCCCACAAGAACAACGCGTGCTCGTGGAGTCATTGGAGGGTCAAACCAGCAGAAAAATCGACAACTATGTAGAACCAAACTCCCATAGTTTTTGCAGCCAAAAAATCTTCTCCCGAGATTATCATTGGACCATGATGTCCTCAGTTGAGCCGGATATCCACACCCACAGACTGGATATGCAAGAGATTGCTCCATTATTCTGCTTCTTCCACCGGCAAACTTCTTCTTTCTTCCTATTTCTTCTATTGTCGAAAATAAGAGGAGAAAGGAAGCAAATGGGGTAATTTAGGGTTAAATTAGGTATTTATATCACACAAAATACCAATAAAATGCCAACAACGATCCTATGTGGACTAAAAAACTTAAATAAACCGTCCATGTCATCGCCATCACGGCCCGTCCATGCCATGTCATCGTGCCGTTAACAGATTAACGGCGGAGTGGCAAAATTGAAGTGAAACATAAATGTCCATGCTAAAATTGAAATGTCAGTAACATTTTCGATCTCGAGCATAAAAGTTGGTAGTATTTGACATAGATTACCCTTAAATTTAAACAAAATCTCAAACAATTGACTCAAAAAAATTCAAATAAAATTTAATTTACAAAATAAGATTTATAAACTTGAATAACTAAAATTTTTTTAACTCAACTCTATCATTAACCCTCATATATATATATATATATATATATATATATATCACTAATTACCCATTTGTCAACTCATATTATAAGAGATTAGATTCATTAAATAAATATTAAAACCATTAAACAAATACTAAAAGTTTAGATTCTAGTGTTGTGAATAAAGAAAAAGAAACAAAACTGAATGGTCCAAGACAATTGCCATGCATCAAAGAGTATTTTACTAAATTTTTTGGAAAGTAATCCTCTTTACAAGAACTCCTAGAAACGGAAGTATACGACGAACACGACGCGGACTCCACAACTCGATCGAAGTAACAATAACAGCCAGCCACCCTCGAAGACGAGCAGCATAGAACACCAAATAAGACGGCTCCAATTATAAGGACATTTTACATGATGAAGTATCCCGAAGTTCTGTCAATCTTTCAACCGACACCTGACAGCACTAGCGATGAAAATCATAGAAAAAGCAGAAACCTATATGGTTAGTCACTGAAATCCATGCTCCCGCTACGAGAACTGCTAGCATTACGACTGTGTAATGACAAGCCTCTCATATGACCAGCCACAGCAGAGCCATCAACCTTTTTCTCCTTAAAGAATCTCTCTCTCTCAACATGTTTTGCAGGAGGGGGAGGAATTGCAACAGCTGAAGGATTTGCATTGTTTTCACATGATTGTTCCGATGGCAATGGTCGAATAAGCGGACGGTTTAGCCGTTCTTTTTCTCCCAGAATGTTTGATCCAAACCCACCCAAGTGTGGCTGCTCTCTGGAGCACTCTTCATCTTCTGGTCTTGCACATGCTTTCCCTTTCCGCATCCTACACGGTTTCATAGTTGGAACGAAAGAACTTTTGTCAATTTACAATGAACTAAAAGGACTAATTTGTGCGTACTAGAACTTTATCCCTCTATACAGCAGTATTCCATCTGTTAGATCTAGAATCGAATAGGTTATGTCATACGACTCACTAAAAAGGCACGTACGCCATATTGACACGGGAAGGGCCTAAACATCATGTTTTATGTCTGACATGGCAAAAACATCTTGGGACGTTTTGGCATAGCCTTTTTGGAGTATCCTTGTCTTATAGATTTAAAGCAATTGGCGAGTCAAACATTCTAAGACATACCTACCTAAGTGCTAAGTCCAACATGGCTAAATATAATAATTGGGTTTTTTCTTACTAGATTAAGCTTTTGGCATAATTCATCAGCCAACCTAACACCATCATCTCGGAAAGATAACAGATAGAATGAAACGAGAGAGGTTTATTAATTTTCTAGGAATTTTTAAATCTTGGAGAGACAGACCAACCTTCTAAAAAGTTGTTCTGGCTCCTCTTCTTCCACTTCTTCATGGTCAAAATGATTTGGAGTTGATGTTGGTCTTATTGAAACAGTGGTCTTCCCGGAGAGAAGAGCATCATGTCTGATGAGAACATTCTGGAGCTGCTCATTCAATTCAATTGCTCGAGAAACCACCTTCTCATCCCTGAAAGACAGACAGCATTGAGCGAAGTTCAAATACCAAAGTAATGGATTTCTGTATGCATTTTGCATTAGCCACGTGCATCCTAGCAGTTTTAGGACAAGAAACAAATAGTCTCCAAGTTGATTACTAGCTCATAAATCATATAATTTTTACTTGTGTAAGAAAGTAGTTTCTTTCACTTCAAAATACTTCCTTTTGTCACAATGAACCCAAACAATCATTGGAATTTTATTTGTCGTGAAACGGCCTTACCGAGAACTCATCACAAGATGCATCACTCGTTGCTTCTGAAACGAACACTGTTCCACAAGGTCAAGTGTAAATTCATCCTTTGCACCCTAAAATAAAACATATCTTAGCAGTCAAAATTGCACGGTTCAAAATTTCAGACATGCATCTGAGGCTAATAAAATACATCAATCATAAAGCAGGGAAATATCACCCATACCTCAGGATTTTGAGTGTCAACTGCATCAAGGACTTCCTTTAAAACCTCTAATGCATTGCTAGCCTTCTGAATAATACTGTGACGAGAAAAATAGAATTGAGGAATTTCATTTCCTAGGCAAAATAAACTCTCGTATTACAATGCATTATCAATTTATTTAGCAATTAGTAAGCATTAATATTAAATTTTAATATAAACTAATACAGATATATCCTGAAAAAATCAACATATCCCAACTGCACTGAAAATTAAGAAAGCATTTTAGACAGGCAAGAAGCTCAAATGTGTTCATATGCAGTATAATTGTCTATATTCCAAGGAGTTTTTTTTAATAAGGTAGAATTTAATTCATTTTTTAACCTTCGGCACAATGGATAGCTAAAAAAATTTCACATCTATTGAAAATTTGCCGAAAGATACACACACACACACACACACAGAAGTTACCTGGACTCAGGTACAATCTGAGGCTCTGCTTGCTTTGCAGCTGCCTCGTGTCTAGCAGATGCAAGTTCTCCAATAAGCGTATTAGGTTTAGTTGGCAGTGACGCAGGTGGATTTGATGGTGTAGTATGAGACCTTTGAGGAAATTCTACCCCACTACTCTGAAAGGATTAAACAAATATAAACATGCAGTTAGTGTTCTATTCACTTGCACTGTATCTACTGATTGCACGTTGTGGAGAATGAAACAAAAGAAAATTACTTATGCCGGAGTTCAAAATTACATTCACGAAAACATGCTAAAATATTAGTATTGGATTATAATTGCTATTTGATGAAACACCTTGTGACCATAAAGGCACGCTAATGAAAGCTTATAGAAAAATACCAAAACCTTTGGGGGAAATTCAGATGCACCAAGCTGGTCATCTTTCTCATAACAGTGCTTTGAAAAAGCTAAGAACAAAATATGACATGTCCAGTCATTTAAGGCATAACTATAATAAGAAATTGATACTGTCACAAGATAGCCTCGTTAATCCTTTTTTTTTTTTGATAGAAATTGGATAGGCCTCGTTAAAAACCCCCTTCTTAACCTCCATGTTACAACAATAACATGAAGGGCATAGGAAGGAGGAAAAGAGTGCCTAAAAATTCATTAATACCAGAATAATACATATCCATCCTAAGAAGTTCTGTTACAACATAAAACTTAAAAACCAAACACAGAACATAAATAACCAGCTCAATAATTGTGCAACCTAGTCAATAATCTAATATTCATCCTATTCCTTCTTTAGCTAGTTTATCCGCTTCACAATTAGCAGCTCTCAAAATATGCCTAACAATTACCCCTCTACTCTCCACTAATGCAGCAATGTCTTTCACCAACGGCTGGAACATAGGAGTACATACACCCGGATTTTTAATCCATTTCAGTGCATTAAGGGAATCTGATTCCAAGATGACCCTTGGAAATGAAACCAAAGATTTCTCCTCAATATACATCAGCCCTCTTTTTATAACCAATAACTCTGAAAGAATAGGAGGAACCCCCCCAATCCTTTCGGAAAACGAACCCTGCTGCAACCTTGAGCATCCCTTAACAATCCACCAATGCCTCCTTTATCCCACTCCTTAGACATCGCACCATCAACATTTAATTTAACGTAACCTAAGGGAGGAGCAGTCCAACACGAGGAAGAAATAGAATCCTTCTTCATTCTTACCCCCAAATCAGCTATTTTAATATCACCCACTAGAGAATCAAAATTAATCTGCACATCATTGAATCTCGCGACAAACCATGATGCAATTCTAAAACGAACAAGGAAGAACAATAACGGGCCATCCACCTTTCCTTTCCCAAAAATAATATCATTTCTACACTTCCAAACCGTCCAAAGCACCGCCCTAGGGATGAACTTCCAAATGGTGGATTTCGGGATTAAATCATTCCAAACGATTATGAAATCCAACAAAGTCTGAGGTGGCACAAAAGATACATTCCAAGATGACAAGAATCTATACCACAGGCCTCTAACAACCTCACAATGAACAAATAGGTGAGAAACAGACTCCACACACTTACCACACAAAGGACATAACGAGTCTTCAATCCCTAAAACTCCTCGCTTTATCAATTCCTCTCTAACTGCCACTCTCTGATGAGCTGCCTGCCAAACAAAAGTTTCGACCCGAGGAGGAGCAACCCCTGTCCATACAATGTTGTCCCAAGTACCATCATCTTCCTCATTACCAACCCAATCAAAATAGCACTTCACACAAGATTTTGCTGAAAAACAACCCTCCCCATTCCCTGTCCAGACCCAACAGTCATTTTGCAAAGATGATAGAGAGGTAGAATTCAACAAGGACATAAGCTGCATCCACTTTTCAACCTCCCAGTCCACCAAATTCCTCCTTAATTTAATGTCCCAGCAGCACCCTGAAGAAGAATTTTCCATGAACTCTGCAACTTTGCCCCCTTTATTCAGTGATAGAACAAAGATCCTTGGGAACCTAACTTTTAAAGGGAACGAACCCAACCAAGAATCATGCCAAAATTGTACTGTCTCTCCATTCCCCATCTTCAAACACAAATTCTTCCTTATACAGTCCCCAAAATCATCTTTAGAAAAGAAATTATTAATTATTCCTTTCCAAATCCAAGATGCCCGATTAGACAAAGAATTCGTAATTAAGCATGTATTAAAGTCTAAATTATACACGCAACACACAACTTTTTCCACCACGAATTCTTCTCTGATGCAAATTTCCATACCCAGTTACCCAAAAGAGCTCTATTTAGAAGAGCCAAATTCGGAATTCCCAAACCCCCAAACCTCTTCGGCTTGCATACTAACTTCCAATTCAGCCAATGAATATTCCTCTTTTCTGTCGAACCGCCCCAAAGGAAGGCAGCCATTATGGAATTCAATCTCTTAACCACACCAATGCTGATAAAAATAAACAATGTCTGCTGATAAAAGTAATGATGATTCTAGAATGATTACTTGCATACTTTTTTTTTTTGATAGAAATTGGATAGGCCTCGTTAAAAACCCCCTTCTTGACCTCCATGTTACAACAATAACATGAAGGGCATGGGAAGGAGGAAAAGAGTGCCTAAAAATTCATTAATACCAGAATAATACATATCCATCCTAAGAAGTTCTGTTACAACATAAAACTTAAAAACCAAACACTGAACATAAAAACCAGCTCAATAATTGTGCAACCTAGCCAATAATCTAATATTCATCCTATTCCTTCTTTAGCTAGTTTATCCGCTTCACAATTAGCAGCTCTCAAAATATGCCTAACAATTACCCCTCTACTCTCTACTAATGCAGCAATGTCTTTCACCAACGGCTGGAACATAGGAGTACATACACCCGGATTTTTAATCCATTTCAGTGCATTAAGGGAATCTGATTCCAATATAACCCTTGGAAATGAAACCAAAGATTTCTCCTCAATATACATCAGCCCTCTTTTTATAGCTATTATTATTATTTTCATTTTCAATAACTCCGTGGCATTAAGATTTCGAAGTCACACAACCAATCAACCTAACCACAAAATGCTAATAGAATGGACTCTTCCAGATATCTTTTTTTTTTATAGAAGACTCTTCCAGATATCTCATACAAAGTATTGACTTAAGATGGGTTCAACAAATTTTACACAAAAGGATTTCAAATCATATAATGTAAAACATAATTTTGGATCTAAATTTATATAAGAACTTAGAGACTCGAGTTCTTAGGATTTTGATGGGTATAATTTTGTAAAATGTTGAAGGAATCAGGGAAATAACACAGTTTAGAACTTGCTGGAAGAGAAGAAGAACACAGTCAAAGGTAGCTACATTTTTTAGAGCATTTCGAAACAATCATATAGAGGTTTAGGAGGAAGTTTATTTATAATGTATGTTGAGGAGAAGGCCTAGGAAAAGACTCAACATATAATAAAAAAAAACAGAAGAAAAAAAGGAGAAAAAGCAAAACTAAATTTCTTAGTGAAAAAATGAAAAAAAATTAGTTAAAATTGAACAAAAGACTTTACAGACAAAACATAGTGACGGCTATCTCCCTAACTGTTCCACCAAAATCAAGAAGGAATTATAGAACTCCGAACAACAGCAGTCCCAAAAACATACTCATACCATTAAACTACTATAGCCTCACAAAGAGTGTATACGTACAGATTTTTTACTCAAATTTTGGAGAATACACATATAAAATGCTGGAACCATATGATTAAACCCGCTAATGGCTTTGACTATCATCAGTATTAAACCCGCTAAAGGCTTTTAAATTGTGTGCAAGTCAAAAACTTAGCACAAGGTTTCCCAGAGGAAACTTTTTTCTCCAATCCACCAAAATGTGCAAAGTATGAGGATTCACATGTTTTGTGTCTGTACCTACCACCAAATCGTAGTATGCTGAATAGTATTGAGGGAACTTTCCAGAAGCACCACCAAGAGATGTTTGTGTAGCATCTAAAAGCAGAAATATTCTCTCTCGTACTGGCAAGTCCGACTACAACAAAAGAACGAATAAAAAACTAGTGTTTTTTTTAAATCATTGAAAAGTAAAAAGTTATAGAAATGAAACAAGCATACACCTTTTTCTTGACTATCTTCACAAGAATTGGGAGAATGCCCGTATCAATCACCAGCTTATGAACATTTTCACCAATATTGTTCATCAACATCTCCAATAGCTGCAAAAGCAGGTGTTAGAGAATACATTTACAAGATATAGAGCAACATAAGGTCAGATTTTCATTAAGCAAAAATAGCATACACTTACCAATACAGCATACAATTGAGCATTTGGGTTTTTGCTCCCCAATCGTTTCTTAATTGCTTTAACAACATCTTTAGCTAGCCTATAAATACAACACAAAACCAGTGAAAATTAAAACTACAATGAAATATAGGCAACCCAAAAGAATGAATTGTAGAGCCAATTTTAACAAAACGCTCAGTGACCATTTTCAACATAAATAAGAAATGAAAGGAAAATAAATCTACCTTTGATCTCGAGCAACTAACTCGCAAATTTCAATGTTCTTTGCCCAGTCCATCTCAGCCAATTTCTCACTTGTGGCAGAATTGACCAGCTCGGCAGCCATTTCTGCTTATTTCTGGATGTAGTTAAAATAAACAAAATTTTTAGAGCACTGAGAGCAACTCAAAATACAACATGAATAGGTAAAGAAGGGAAAAAAATACATAAGCAGATCACAGCATATACAAGTTAAGAAATTAAGAGGACTGAATAATGTTCCGAACCTAAATCATACAGCCACGCTTAAAATAGAACTTGGATAATAATAAATAGATCAAACTAAAGCATTCCATTAATCTATTTGGCATGCTTCAGATTTCACCTATAATATATAATTCACACTTATAACCTTTTAGAGCTGGACATCTGCAGTGTGGTTATTGGAATGTACAATTTTGTTGGGTAACACTAGTCTCTAGACCTTGGGTTAGTAACAAATACTTCAAATGATGAAGGCAACAAAAAGGATTAGTCATTTAACATTTTAAAAGTTATAACAATCAAACATGTATCTTTTATCAATATCAGGTTTTATTAGCAGACTTAAAGCATTATCCATATTCTTAGATGCTACAAATGCCCAAGGTATGCTCATATATAAGTAGATATGTAGATATATGCTGAAAGATTGCTTTAGAAAAGAACACTAGCATAACCCCCAACTTCAAAGTACTTCTTAGTCCTGTTCTCTCCATTTTTACTTGACCCAAGCTGGTTGGTTGAAAACTAACTCAAAGAATGGTATCACAAAAAGTAAATAGAGCAACTAATCACATGATAGAACTGCACGCAATGCAATAGAAATCAGAATAGTAAACCGATGATTGGGGGTCATTCAATCAGTTAATCAACTCCTCAATTGTCAGGAGAAAGTAGACACAAATGATAAAAGAAGAGTGAAACTAAACTGACCGGTTCTTTTTCTTACTAGCAGTGACTTTGAATTGCATACAGTTTAATTTGTTACTCTGCAAACAACAAAATCTCACAGTTCAGGAAAATAAAAACATTAAAGTAGAGGCAAGCCGATGAAAATCATCATATACATACAAGAGAAATAACATAATACCTCCAAATAAAGCGTGAATTGAGAAAACCGACTTATTTTTAAAATTGTACATTCTTTCACACTCTCAAACTAAGAAGTTTCACTTGAACAAACACTAAAGGACAAATAAGAAAACTACAGGGAACAAAGTAATATTAATCATAAAAAGAAAAACCTTGGATCTACTCTAATGTTCTCTTCTGATCTATCATACTTCACTACTGGAGCTTAGTTCAGCGATTTCTGCTCTTAAACAGGCTCAGATCTCAATTACTTCGAATCCTATATATCTTCCTAACCAATATAACTCAAAAAGAAGCATAAATTTTCGTTTAAAAGAGGAGAGAGATCTCATTTCAGGAACCTTGACCAAGACGTACCTGTAAAGACGAAGACGATGTAAAGGAATCTTAGAAGCAAGTGATAAACCCTACAAGACTGAGACTGAACGAGGAAGCAAAGGATCAATTTACCCAAAAAAAATGAGATTTCTCGTTTTTTTCTCTCTCTTCTTTTTCTTGCCTTTATAGGAATGTTTGATTAATAAAGCTTATATAATAAACTGAGGGAATTTTGGCAGAGATGATTTAGGTGATTAAATAATAATATTACTGTAAAAAGGAAATATTTTCTTTTTCAAAGCTTATTGGGCTGATTGATTGAAGGTTGTAGCAGCACCGCCATGCCACATGAAGGGTTGTCCAAAAGCGTCTTGGGATGGATGGGTAAGTCTAATGTCACTTGAAGGTGAGCTGTCTTCATTATTATTTCCTTGAGTAAATTACACAAATAGGTCACCCAACTACTACTTCTTTTCTATTTGGATTATTGAATTATATATTTTATAAATTTGATCACTAATGTTACGTTTTTTCCCCCTATTTTGATCATTGACAGTGTCGCTCCTACACTAACGAGTTTCTCCTATCAAGTTTTACTGAAAATCAACTTATAATGGTCCCCTCTTTTCTTTCTTCACATTTCATATAAACTTAACTCAAATCCAATGAAATCTCACATAAAATTCTGACTTTGTTCCTTTTTGATCTTTTATTATGATCTTTGAATTGTTGTGTGTTTGAGATATGTTGATCCTTCGTTGAATGAAATTTAATCATCATTAAGATCATAAAGATGATGCTTCGATCGTCGGAAGTAAAGAAAAGGTAGAAGCTCCCTCTCTTTTTTCGTTTCTTTTTTTTTTTGTTTCGTGGTTTGATTTTTGAATTGGTATTAATTAAAGTTAATGGGTATTTTTTTATTCAATTAGCAATGCTAAGTTGAGGTTTTTGCAACTATTAGAGATAGTTGAGAAACTTCATCGACAAGTCGCAATTAATATTCAAAGGGGAGGAAAATGAGACAAAGTACGTGAGTTTCAGTTATTAGATATAAAAGCATAAGCATGGATTTTTTTTATAAAAGTATGTGAAAAATGATTGCAAGAAGGACGGATGAGACGGAAGTAGGGATAAGGTGATGGTAGAAGAAGATGAGATTCAAAAGAGGTGATGGGTGGTAAGAATGATGATACTCGATTCTAATAAAGGGAAGTGGTGGTGATCTTCATGTTCAAAGTTGACATCAAAGAAAAAGTGGCATTCAAACGACGCAGGAAGACATACCAAAAAAGGTGTTTAAGACATCGTAGAGTGACCGAAAGCATCAACAAGACTAAGATTTGTGTTAGAGAATGACCAAATTGATATATTTTAAAATGTCGAGTGTTCAATTTATTGAATTGTTTTGAATTGTGATTAAATTGTCATAATGTATAAATTGTGAGAATAAAATGTTATTATATTCATGTCACATCACCATTTTTATTAAGTTTTAACGAAAACTTAATAGTCAAGGATCAAAATATATAAAGGGAATATAACTTTAGTGATCAAATTTATAGAAAAAAATTGTTTGATGGCCAAAATAGAAAAAAGTAATAGTCAATTACTAATGGTGCAGTTTACAATATTTATATCAATTTTTATTTGACGCGTGTCAAACTTGGAACGTGGAAGGAAGAATTAGTTCCGCAGTTGGTGATATCGAATGGTCCCTTAGTGCTATTCCGATCCCGATCACTTACCCGATAACTGTTTTTGGCTGCATGAGCCGCATGGCTCGTTCACAGTTCGCTCAGAGAATCGTGTGGCTTTTGCTGAGGAAGTTGCCGTAGATCATAGGCCCGCCGTTAATGTACCTAATTATCGGCTGTTTAACTGGTTGTGGTCAGGAATTTAAATAACGGTTCACTATCGGCAGTATTTATATAACAGGATCTGTATGGTTTAAACCGTTATTATATGATTTTGATATCCGTAATGACCACAATAACACGCGTTATATTGGTAAACACAGCGAAACCAAAATAAAAGAACGTGGTATCTTGTTGTTCTTATTAAGAATTTGAATGTTGGATGGCGCTTGTGCTTTAATCTGTTGCCAACTCGGTTTACTTCTTGTGCTGTGGGTTTTTCTTTTCTTTCTAGATGACAACCGTGTGATTTGTAAACAGGTCGTGGAGGACGATGCCCGTATGTTTTGGCATTGTTCACAGGTTCGGGTTTTTTGTTGATCCTTGTTTTGCTTTTCTCTTGCGTTGTAATGCTTCTTCCAGTGGTGTGTTGCATTTCGCCTTTGGTTCAGTGGATGTGCTTCAAAGATTTGCTCCCAGCTTTGGTAATATTCCTAACCGGTGTAGTTTCTCTGTAGCAGAGTTCGCATAAGCTCGTCTGTTACCTCTGCTCCGATTTTGCTTTCAGGTACACGTTGGTATTAAATTACAGTCACATGAAATATTTTTCAAGGTTTTCACGATACTGTAACTATATTCACAATATAAAAACATAATTATTTAAGAAATAAATCACACCGCCCACAATCACGACACATGAGTCACGACTGCAACTGCAATTTAATATTACTGCCACCAGCGGAGAGTTCTGTGAAGCTATATGTTGACAATGGTGTTGGCAAGGAGGGTGCAAGAATTGGCTTTAGGGTGGTCGTGCGTGATGCTCATGGGATTTTCATTGTAGCTCGTACTTGGTTATGTGACTTCCATACATGCATCCAGCCGAGCTGATGTTACTTCTATGGAGTACAAGGCTATTCTTTTTGTTGTACGTTGGCTTCATGAGGCTTTCGTTTCGTCATGAGTAGCTCGAGAATGACTGTTTGTTGGTGGTAAAATCTCTTTCAGACATCGACCGTTTAGTGTCAAGTCCAGGTTATCTACTAGTTGAAATATGGAGTCTTAGTTACGAGTAAACTAAATTCGATTGACTCAAAAATAATAATTTTTTACTCGATTCATGTTAAAAACACTCGACTTGACTTAATTCGACTCAATTCGTAATTTTATAAATTTGACTCGTCTCGCCTCTACTCAAAAAAAATTTAAATTATCCTGGAGTTGTAAAATAAAACTTGAATAACTCAAAATTTTAGTAATTAGTATATTGATTTTGAGTTGACTCTCTCAATTCTATATTATATATATCACATATAAAAAATAGAGAAATATGTATACATGTATATGATTATAGAAAATCATTTAAATTGGAATCATATATTATTAGTAATATAAATTATAAATATTAATAATTAGATTAAAAAGAAACTCGAACAACTCAAATTAACTAAACTCAAATTTTATAAGACCGACTTGATTCATAAAAATTTAAATTAAATTTAAATTATAAAATAAAAATCATCGACTAAATAATTTAATTTTTTTAATTCGACTGACTTATCAAAACTATTTCCTAATCTTACTTCATTTGATTCACTTCACCTTCAAAGTATACCAAAACCCAGAGCGTCAATGGCATAAGATAGGGTGGTTATCAAACGAGTCGATTGCGAGTTGGGTAGTGCTCGACTCATGTTCGTTAAAAAATTTGTTGCTCGACTCGTGCTCGTTAAAAAACTTGTTGCTTAACTCGACTCGTTTATCGTTAAACTCACTAAAAGTTTTACCTTATTTTTTAACTATAGGTAAAATCAACAAATATATAATTTAATATAAACATAAGTTGGTACTAAAAATAAGGAAATAAACATCTCTTCACACCATTCATTATTGTTTGCAATCACTAAACTATTAAAAAATTATATAAAAAATTAACGAGTTGTTCGTAAACTTATCAAGTCGAATTAGACTTTATTCGAATTAACTTATTAAAATCTCGACTCAAGTCAACCCAAATTAAACTTTAATTAAATTTTAATCGAATCAAATTAAAATCACTCATAAATAACTCAACTCATTAAACACTCTTAGACATAAAGTAATAAAGTAAAAATGACAAGAGGCATATATATTATTTAAATTTATATTTATTTTATCTAAATTATTCAGATATTATTATTTAAATCATAATCAAATATTCAAATAAAAAATGCATTGTGGACCAGAGCACGGAATAACATTTGATTTGATTAGAGATTTAGAAGATTATATATAGTTTTAAATATTTTATAAAAAAATTATTTTCCAGGTGGAGAATTAAGTTAAAACAATAATAAAAATATAATAATAATGATAGAGATAATTAATAGAAAGATATAGGAGGAGCAGACGACAGGTGGGAGGTGGAATAATCATATATATAGAGAGAGAGGGGTAAAGACGACCGGCAGCTGAGAAAATACATTCCCCTAAACAAGTCATTGCTCCCGCAGCCATCGCCCTTTAATTTCAAACAAAAATAAAGAATAGGGGGAGAAATTGCAGCAATCTAGGGTTTGACGAGACGAATCCAATTCCAATCAGCGTATTATTGCCGTGTTCAAAACGAGACGAATCCAATTCCAATCAGCGTATTATTATCCGTATTCATAGTCGAGAAATTCAATCTCTCCATTTTTCTCCGTGTATATATGTATGTATGAATGCATGTGTATATATGTATGTATGAATGCATGTGTATACAAGTATATATAGATGTACTCCAGCAATCTCAAGGGCTTTATTCTGGCCATGGTCTCTAGCGCCTTCATTGGCTCCAGCTTTATCATCAAGAAGAAAGGTCTCCGGAAGGCCGGCGCCAACGGCCCCCGTGCTAGTAAGTTTGTTTGCCTTATTGTTAGCTCAATTTCTAAGGTTAAAGTTCTTATTTTGTATAGGTACATATAAATTTTTATATATGTATGTATTTAAGAATAAAATTGTTTGTTAATTTGATGCATACTTTGTATAAGGTTCCGGTGGATATGGCTACTTGTTGGAGCCGCTCTGGTGGATTGGCATGCTTACTAGTGAGTTTCTTTACAACATATCATTGACGAGAATTTATGTTTGACTCAATCAGACCAATTTAATGCCATCATTTGTAAAATGCTCAGTTTTAATATGACAGTGATTTTTGGGGAGATTGCCAATTTCGTTGCATATATTTATGCACCTGCTGTTTTAGTAACGCCTCTTGGTGCATTGAGTATCATTGTTAGGTAACATTTTATTTTTCTTTGTTGATTTTGGAATTTTAATTGATTAATACTATTATGAATTGGTAGTTTACGATCATCTTTCGCTTCCTTTCAAAATGGGCAGTGCTGTTTTAGCACATTTCATGTTAAAGGAGAAACTGCAGAAAATGGGAATGTTGGGATGCCTTTTGTGCATAGTAGGTTCCACAATCATCGTGCTTCATGCACCTGAGGAGCGTTCTATTAGCTCAGTTGAAGAGATTTGGGCATTAGCTACACAACCGGGTAGATTGCTAGAGTTTTCATCACATATTAAATGCTAATATCTTCTTATTCTTGGCTTCCCTAATGTTTACATTAATCTGTTTTTCTTTTTCTTTTCCAGCCTTTCTCTTGTATACAGCTTCAGCAGTAGCTACTGCATTGGTATTAAGTTTGTATTGTGCACCCCGTTATGGTCAAACTAACATAATCGTGTATATTGGAATATGCTCAATAATTGGATCATTGACGGTAAGAAATCTCAGCTTTGCAGCTAACTATGTCTTAACTGTAATAGTTTTATCATTTTGGTTTATAGTAATTGTTGTCAGTCGCAGCTTTGCAGTTAACTATATCCTAACATCTAATAGTTTTATCATTTTGGTTTATGGTAATTGCTGTCAATCTCTATTCTCTGCTTTGCAACTAACTAGATCTTAACATCTAATAGTTTTATCATTTTGGTTTCGATTAATTGCTGTCAACTTCTATCGTTTTGAATGTAGTTTATTCATCAACGTTTTATCAGTAATGGACAATAAATGTAACTTTCTCGTAGGTAATGAGTGTAAAAGCCATTGGTATTGCAATAAAACTAACATTGGAGGGTACAAATCAGGCCATATACTTGCAAACTTGGATTTTTGCAATGATTGCAGTTACATGTATCATCATTCAATTAAATTATCTAAACAGGGTAAGCATTTATTCATACTCTTAAATCTTATGATGATAATTGTAAAGCAACATGCATATAGTAGATGCCTTCCTACAAAAACTATTTGAAACAAAAATCTTATACTTCTGTTGCAGAATTCTAGAGAATATGTTTCAAAATTAAAATTTTTGTTTTTGTGAGAGGTTTGACTATTTAACCTGCATGAATAAATTAATTAGAAATTACTGATACATTTGTTTCAATTTTTTCGTTAATGATTAGACTTGATCCAAGAAGTGTTGCAATATCACGTTACTAGTGAAGAAAACGAATATTCCACTTGTTACTTCAAAAATTCTTTAAAATGTAGCAAACCATAGGCACTAGGATTGCTATAAATGCAGTTGGTTGCTCTTTGTAAGAGATGTATGGATTGCAAGGGACTATCCGTAAGAACTGTATGCTCTGAATTATTGAGAAAAAAGGATAAAAAAATTGAGCAAGGAAAATGGAGGAGAAGAGATCCATAAGCTTCTGATTAGGTTCCTTAGAAGTTAAATCTGAACTTGAATTCATTACATTATCAATAAGAAAAAGAAAATATCCTAAGATCTCTCCTAGGATCCTTAGGCATACCTGAGGTTGATTGCATCTCGCCATCACAGAGGTAGTAATGTCAGAGATTCTATAATAATATTCTATGTTATTTATGTAGATTCCTAGCACCCTTGTTCCTTAAAGAACTACAAATCCTATTTGTATAAAACTACATGGTGAAGACATGGCCAAAAAGGGATATCACAAAAGTATATGACAATTTTTGGCCATCTTTAACTTGATATATAGTTAGAAGAGAAGAGAAATCCATTCTTGGATTGCAGTTCCAAGTCTTTTCAAATTTTTGTAATGCTTTGATGTGGTTGCAGGCATTGGATACTTTCAACACGGCAATTGTTTCTCCTATTTATTATGCATTGTTCACGTCTTTCACAATTTTAGCGAGTGCAATAATGTTTAAGGTATTTTCCTCTCCCATGCACATGGACCTGCAAAGTTTGCAAACAAGTAGATTTTCTAATGCATGAATTATCAATGAGCATTAATATTATAATTGATCCATGTTAAATGCAATATCAAACATTGTTCCTTAAAAGTCATGTACTTTGGTGGATTAGGGATTGCATTGTAATTTCAACGTGCGCAAGCTCTTGTATAATAAGCTTCAGTTTTATATTTTCTTCCCTTTAAATTCTCAAGGCCTAAATTTTATGGAAGGAATACTCACATGCACAGATGTTTAATCATATGTGCATGGATATATCTATATTTGTCTATCGAAATATTCTTATGATGCTTGGATATATCTCCTAATTATCAAAGTATCCCCTATGCTTAGCTGAAGCAATACATGATGTACTTGAAATGAAAACTCTCTTATTTTATGTAAATGAATAAATTATATGAATAATTCAAGTGATTGTTCATTCAAGTGCACCTAGGTGCTCTTTTTCTGCAAGGCAATAGGCATAAAAAAAACCGCCTGATTGAATTTCTCTTTAATTTCATTATTTTTCACATCTTTTTCTTTTAATATGCTTTTGCTAGTAAGAAAAGGATAATATCAAACCCTATCTTTTGTAACATTTGAGCATTCAACAACAAACATTGACCACAATGAAATCATGCATATTAACCAATAAAAAAATGTCATGTTTTGCAGATATACTAGACCTCACTTTAGAGTTTGTTATATGTTTTAAGCTTTATGTGCATATATATATATATAAAACTCACACATATAAACTTGACTCAGGGTAGTGCTGTTTTTGGGCCTTGTGCCTGAGGTAATATAAGGGTTTAAGCGCCTAGAGTGTACCTTGTGCCCTTGAAATCATTGGGACCAAGGACTTTAATGTCAGTGAGTCATATGTGATTCTTCTGTCTCTATATGTATTCATTATAGTTACTTTTCCTTGTTTTGTAGGACTACTCTGGTCAAAGTGCTAGTAGCATAGCATCCGAACTTTGTGGTTTCATAACAGTGTTATCTGGGACTGCTGTATTGCATAGTACTAGAGATCCAGATACTCCTCTTATCTCAGGTATATTTCTTATATGAATTGATGAGTAACTTGTTTTGAATTAGAACATCTGCTTCCTGAATTTGAATGCATTATATTTCTTAATATGTTTGATATGGGACTAAGGACAATTTTCATCGAGTCTTGGAAACTATATTGTTAACCAAAAGAGCATAAAAGTTAGTTTATCTGATTACAAGTTTGGCCTTGAATCAGAAATTGAATCTCTTAAACCCCAAAGGAATGTAATAATTAATATGAATGTGCCTACCAAATTTGATAGTAAAATTCCAACTTGTACAAAATATATCTTGAACCAATACCACCAAAGACTTGGGAAACAGTAATAAGATTCGGGCTCAAGTTGAATCACCGTTGATTGCTGCCGAAACAATTATTTTAATTAGACCTCTCTGTCTCAAGTTGCTTCTTTTTTATACATGCTGAAACTTGGCACCTAACTTTAATTTTATGTATATGTATTAGGCTTTCTTGCCATTCTATTGAAAGTATTTTAGCCTTTCGGAAATGTAGTCATGGTGAAATTTAAAGTATTTGCATGTACATGAATAATCCATAACGCCAGCTGCTGTCCTTCAAGTTTTCTTGTTCATCTTTTGAAATTGAGGTAGCAATAATCAAGTAAGACATGTCAAATAGGGATCATGAAACTCAAAACTTTTTAAGAACTCTAGGTGATGCAGAACTGTTTGGAGGACTTGGGTATAAAATTTGGAACCATTCTTTCTTCCTTCTATTACATCATGTTTGGTTGTGAGATTTGTAATTAAAAAACACGGTTTGATTTTGAAAATTGGTATTGCCTCCCAATTCCCTCGCAATAATTGCACGAGTTTAAAGAAGCAAAATATGAAGAATTTGGATTAGAATTATATCTTGAGAAAGGATGCAAGGGGCACGGATGTAATCCTTCTTGACTGCCAAACCTTGCACTCATCTTCCTTATAGAAAGAATTATTTTTTATCGTATGCAGATCTATACACCCCATTGTCTCCGACAGTATCATGGTACATCCAAGGCAATGGGGAACTGTGGAAGCAGAAAGATGAAGATGGGTCATGCCCTAGCTTCATCACAAATGTCCGGCAGGACTATTTCAAGTAAATATATTACAATGGGGAACTCACTTTTTGGATTCTGTCTCTTTTGTAGACAGAGCACCGGGAATCAGCATATTCTGCCGCAGATCACAGCATTGGTAATTTTTGTTCAGGATCTTTCCCCAACTATTAAAACTTCAATCTTTTTAGAATGAAAAATCAGATCACACTTGATGCTATTTTGTGCAGTAATCAGTTATTTAATTTTCGAAGAATTATTTCTTCAATAAGTTCAGTTTAGGTTTTCTACAATCAACCTTTTTTTTTTATTTTATAAACTTCTAGGTGTGTTATGTCATCGTGCAAACGAGAGGTGTGGTTAAGGTGTAACTTCTGCAAATGAGGTAAACTTTGTATTTGTAGTTTTATGGAATTTTGATTCATTGAAATCTATAATGACAGAAGAATGTAGGGAAATTTATTTGGTTATATGGTCTATCATTTATGATTGTATTGTCCGATTCGATAATGGATAATGGAATAGTATCCACATCCATGTATTGCAGATAGTAATTAAAACACCAAATAATTTGTTATAATTATGGGTAGGCATAGTGGAACTCCATGTCGGACAGTCGAGAGCTAAGAATATAAAATGACGAGGATACAGTGATAAAAGTTAGATTGTTCTTTCAAAATTGCGTGCATTTAACCTCCAATTCAGTTTGTCGAATGGGTACTTGTGTGCGGCGGTGGTCTGGGAAAGGCTTGTTTCCGGTTTCAGAAGCTTTAAGGTTTAAACCAAAGAATATAGTGTTGGTTTATCTTAGGGAAACCCAAGGCACTTGAGGTGTAGTTTTGCAGTGCGGGTCTAATTTACAATTATTTTTAGGGTAAGGTATAGTAATGGTCACTGAATTTTTTTAAACATTGCATTTAGGTCTCTCAACTTTTAAAACATACAATACAGTCCTCTAACATTTAGTCTTTTTGTAATATGGTCCCCGATATAATCGGCAGTTTGCAATATGGTCATTGAACTTTTTAGGCGCTTGCATTTTGGTTCCCAACTTTTAAAACTTACAACACAATCCTTAATTTAATTATAAACCCCAAATTTCAAAATACTTCAATTACATTTTAAACCTTAAATTTTAAAATATTTTAATTTAGGGTTTAGAATGTAAAATAGAATTTAGGGTTTAGAATATAATTGAAGTATTTTTGGAATTTTGAACATGAATTTGTTATTTGATAATGTTTACTTCAATATAAATTTTAGGTTTATTGCATGCACATCCAACGACTGCCGTACTTTGAACATGAAAAGTGCACATATCACAGTTATTGCATAAATCGTTGAAGTGAAAGTAACAAGGACAATTTGTCTTGTTCGTAATTGCAGCACTTTGGTATAACAATACAATAGGCTTGGATGAAACTTAAGCATGCACATCCAACGGCTGCGAAAATAGTAAAGAGTTTTAGTTCATAGGACTATAACATACAACCAAGCAATAACTAAAATAAACCAAGAATATCAATTAATAACTCATTCAAAAGGAGGACTTAATAAATAAAGAAAAAGAGGTTCGGTCATAGTCACTCCAAAAGTTAAGGCATCAAATGGGTTATTTAAGATAAACATTAGATGCTAAATACAATATTATTAGTTGCAAATGCATTAATGGCCTACCCTTCTAACATATAATTGCTTCTAATGCTCCATGTTTAATGTTCCTCAATAGCCAAACATGATGTGAATCTAAAGCAGATAGCTGAACTAAAATCATAAGACCCCATAATTCTTGTAAATTCATGGCATGTCAGCAATAAAAGACATTGTAAGACATAGAGGACACTGGAACAAACATATATATGTTAGAAATGAATGTGTAAATGTGCAATGATCGGGCAATATATCAAGTAGTTGCTTCAAATAAACTACCCCTTCATGATGTCTTTCGAGTTGTGTGCATGCAGAATTGTCTTCTAAAGCTATAATTCAATATAGATTCAACTGTAAAATTTCCAAAACATTTAAAAAAAATTCAATTCGTCCATGACATATCAGTCACATAATCAACATGAACTTATTAAAAAGAATACGAGTTCACATGACACCAAAAACCACAGGTTGGATCAATACAATTCCCAGTAAACTAGTACCAACAGTCTCTCAGATTGAGCTTGACGATTTCACTATATCACTACTCACAACCAATTCCTTGATTTAAAGAAAAACCAAACAAAAAGATAAAAAAAAAATTAGCCTATGACCCTCTTTCACTTCTATTCTGATGGACTGAATATCTTTCATAAGGAGTACTAAAAGTTTTGATTAAGAGGAAAAAAAATAAAATTAGATGGTTTTGGTTCAAAACTAACGGCAAATTCCAAAACACTTCAATTACATTCTAAACCCTAATTTTCAAAATACTTTAATTACATTCTAAACGCTAAATTAAAGTATTTTAGAATTTGGGGGTTAAAATGTAATTGAATTATTTTTGGAATTTAGGGTTTAGAATGAAATTGAGAATTGTGTTTCAAGTTTTAAAAGTTGGGGGACCTAAATGCAAGCACCTAAAAAGTTCAGTGACCATATTGCAAACGGCGTCAAACGGTCGGTTACGTCAGGGATCATATTGCAAACGAACTAAATGTTGGAGGATTGTAATGTAGGTTTTAAAAGTTGGGGGACCTAAATGTAAGCTTTAGAAAAGTTCAATGACCATTACTATACTTTACCCTTATTTTTAATCTAAAATATTATTGTATTTAGTCTAAAATATTATACAACTTTTAATATTTTCGATTACAATAGAAAATTTTGTATTATATAATTTTGGTTGAAACCAAAAAAATATTTGAGAGAATGTAATATTTTCGATTTCAACTTAAAATATTGTTTTATCCAATCTGAAAAATAACACTTTTGGTTAAATATTCAGTTATAACTGATTTTTTAATCGTATATTAACTTTATATTAACAAAATGTATTTTTAGAGACTCCAAGCATCTAAAGGTAAAATTGTGAAAGATTTAGCAACCTGCTCGGCATGCTGTTACTGTACCAAAGAATGTATTTATCGTCGAAACTGTTTCTAATTCAATGATAATTTTGTTGGAGGGACATTTAAAAAAAATTTGTATATGTTAATTAAAATATTTTACTACCTTCAATTGAAATAAAATTAAAATTTGAATATTTAATAACTTAATTGAATTCCTTGACTCAAAAAAAATGAACAACCAAATAGGAAGAAAAAAAAACAAAAATTATGTATCTTGAAATTAGAAATAATAAATGAGAATATATTTTCATTAGATTAAAAATAAAACAAAAATACAAAAATGAATGTTAACTCTTTTTAATAAACGATAACTAAATTTTAAAGTAGTATACATTTTTTTTATAATTACATTTAATATCTTATTGTATACACTTTTTAAGGACCAATTTAAGAATTTAATATGTATTAATATATGACAAAAATAAGTTACTCTAATGGAATGAGACATTAGATCTCTTAACAAGGTCAATGCTTCAAATCTTGGCGTTTGCAAATGGATTAAATTGGGTTGGGAATTGTCTCTTTCACCTCTATAGTACTTGATTCGAATTAATCGATTAATAAATTAGATATCAATAATTACTCCAAATATATATATACATATACATACACACACTCTCTCTAAAAAAACAAAAACTAAACTTTAAGTATGATTTTAAAAAAATTGAAAGTTTATGTACTAAATGTATAATTTATCCTAAAAAATTGGCGAGGTCATGGCCCCCTCTAACCCTTTAATAGTTCTGCAAAAAATAATAATGTTTTCAATAACACATTTCCTTAACCGTATATTAAGGTTACCGTACAACATAACTACCCAATTCATGATGATTTCCAATAGACGGATTGTGGTGAAATTCATACTTCATGGTTGAACAGTTAAGTAGCTTTTATATATCATATTAGGACATTTAAATAAGACTGATAGTAATCCTTCTTATGTGTAAATCAAATGAAAAATTAGTTATTGTCTAAATATGTTATTACCATCTCCTCATCGGATTCCAAAATACATACACTCTACCTAGTAAAGCTTTGTACACGTACAAGATCAAATTTTGTACGCTTTTAATCGGTTGATTGGTCTATATATATATATATAATGACACTTCTGATAGGAGCCTTTCTCTGCTTATTATCACATCCTCTTCTTTAACTTCAACATCTATATATCTATGTCTATGCTTTTGGATATCTCTAATGATCTTTTCCATCACCTTATCTTTAAAAGAAAATTGACATGTTGTTGAAGTCTTTAAAAATACTTAAAATAAATTTTATAGTAGCGATAAGCATGATCGAATCTACGAAGAGTGATGTTAGATTAATTTTATAAAGTAAACAAAAAATAAAAGACTAACCCAGCTTTCAAGTCAAATACTCTCGTGCATCTCTTATTTCCGTTCATACTCTCTTTGTGCTTACTTTTGCGACAAGTTAAACAACCAAACTTAGGTTTCCAGGCTGCCTTAGCGTCGAGCAACCGAGCGAGGCATCTGAGGGTCGCACGAACCTACTAGTCGACAGTCTAGCCCCGTGTCAAGTGGTATCAGAGCAAAGTTTGTCGCCGGACAAGATGGCTCCACAACCCAATGAAGTAACAGGGTCTGAGGGGGTCGAGACTCACAACGCAGGAAAGAAAAAAGACTTTCCAAAGGACATCATCGCATCGTTCCATGGTAAGATCGCTAAACTCGAAGACTCTGTGAAGGAAGTTAGGGAGGTATTGGATTGATTGGAATCCATCGACCTAGAAAAGCTACGGTCCCTGGATCTCGAGAAGCTTAAAGCCTTAGAGAATATCCAAGAGGATGTGCAGGCTGCACTCAACTGATTAGATGCGAAGAGTTCCCAACAAGATGATGCTTTGGAAGCCCAAATCATGGCCTTAACACAAGAGGTCGAAGAACTTAAAAACCAAGGTTTCAGAACCTAGGTTGAAAACCTAAAGAAGGAGATCGAGCAACTCAAGACCGAGGTGGCCTTGTGCAAGGATGTCGTGGCTGGTAGCATGCTAACCAGCGCCCCCAAAGGCCAAGCCGAAGTCCTTATACCAGAAAAGTTTAAAGGGATTAGGTCAACCAAAGACGTTTAAAATTTTATGTAGAACATGGATCAATACTTTCGAGCCATGGGCATTGAGAATGATACTGAGAAAGTAAATATTATTTATGTTTACTTAACTGATTTAACACACTTATGGTGGCGACGTAAATGCACCAAGATGAAACGAGATGGCACCACCATTGGAACCGGGGCAGAATTTCAAGCTGAGTTCAAAGAGCAATTTTACTCTTATCATGTTGAGAATGAGGCACGATCAAAACTAAGGCGTCTTAGGCAAGAAGGCTCTCTAAGGGAGCACGTTCGATAATTTTTCGAGTTAAGTCTATAAGTCCCGAGCCTAACCGAAGATGACATGTTCTACACCTTCATGGACCGATTAAATTCATGGGCAAAAAATGAGTTGGAAAGAAGGGTTGTCAAAGAATTGTCTAAAGCCTTGACAACCGCTGAATCCCTCATCGAACTTGGTGTTAAGAAACCCAAGCCTCCAAAATCAAAAGTCGAGGGTCCTAGTAAGGGAAACCAAGATGAAAGACAAGAACAAAGCCTATCAAGTGATGATGAGGAGCCTACAAAAGGCATATCCTACTGACGCAACAGTCAAAAGAGAAGGGGGACATCCAATCAATCCACTGCTTCAATTGCCATGAGCAAGGATACTTTGCAAGAGATTGCCCTCACACTAAAAAACTCGCAGTCATTGCCGAATAAGACAACGATTCAGAGAAAGAAGTATGTAAATTTAGCTCAATTACAAGTGTTAAGCCGATAGTAAGTTCCATCTCTGAGGGAGGGGACCACAAAGGGTACAAAATTATCCACTCTAAGTCACACAACATCAAAGGGGTTATATAATGTTAATTAAATTAAAAGACTTGATGAAAAGAAAATAAAATTTTATGATGAGAATACATCTAACCTAATCATGAAATTTAATTCATAATTTGATCATTAATTTCAATGTAGGGTTATCTGAACTCAATTTGAATAGATTGATTATAGTTACTCAGGACTCCCTTATAACCTAATCTCTTCTTATTTAATCGATAATTAAAGAGACGCTCGAATGATTGCTTTTATTGTTGATTAGACAAGCTGATAAAAACGTTTCTAGAATTTAATCTACCCAACAACTTTATGAACTAAAGAGACCCAACACTTAACTAACTCACACTATCGTGGAAGATTTGTTCTTGGGTTATTTTACTACTTGTATGAAAACCTACTCACAATTACAGACAAAAAGATTTTAATCAACAATATAAAGAATTAATAAATAACAGTAGTGATCACCTCTATCAACTAAGAGAAGAAATAGAATTTAAATCGTAAATTGCATCGTTTTGACTTATTCTTATTCTATTAGAAAAGAGAGATAAAAATTTAAATTATACATTACATTTTTTTACTTATCCTAATACTAATAAAAAAAATAAAGATATAGTTTCATTAAAAATAAGAATGTCGTCCTTATTTTTATTATTTGAGTATCTAAATTTTATAAGAATTCTCAATTTTAGTTTTAATATAAGTATATTTTGAAATGTAAAATAAAACATCGATCTAATAATAGATCGATGGATTTTGCATGAGTTTTGGGTTTAAAGGTTATAATGTATGGGTCTTCGATTTTTTTTATTCGGACAAAATTTAATATTTTTACTTTTTCGATAAGGAATATTTATAAAATTTTCTTTTTCGTTATGATAATCGTACCAATGAAATTGGTCACAAAAGTTTTGATTGTGTTTTCGTTAGAAGGAAAACTTCTGATCATAACAAAAACAAAATCTGTAATCTGAACGAAGACATATACATTAACAACATGAGATGATTAACACAGTGCTTTGAGATGGTTTAATTCACTAAAAGAGTGCTGTAAATATAGAAAAACACCCAATCAGTCCTCATAATTTCCTCGACGATTTAATCTTAATCTTGGGTTTTGATTGAGGTTTCTCACAAGTACTGATTACATCAACACGGTGGTGTTGAGATGATCTATGGCTACTCTTTACGTTCTTCTTCGCTGCCGATTTGTTTTTCCTCTTCAATCCAAGAGTCCAAATCTTCTTTCGCTTCTTCTTCTTCTCCTTTATGGTCTCCAATTTGGGTTTCCAGTTATGGCGCGACGAACCGACGAGCAACGTGTATTGTTTCTGCAACTGAGGTGTCGTGCACACTCTACTTGAGCAACTCTCTTCGACGCCGACTTTCATTTTACTTTCTTCCATCAACTCGCGTATAAACTCATCGGAAACTCGTATTCTCAAACACCCGGACTCACTCTTTTCGACGCGGAAAGGTTGACAAGCGGCGGCCTTCTCTGCCAAACGAGGAGACGAGTATCGAGCGTTGGCGAAGGAAGCAATGGTGACGAACGATAAAGCAGTCTGGAAAACTTGTTGGGGAAGAAGAAAGTAGTTGTGGCCGAGGTGGAGCTTATCGTCTCTGGAGAGAGGCGGGATCTTTTGGCCTATGTACAACGAATCGGATCGGCAGATCATGTGCTTGGGGAACTGGTTCAAGAGCTCGGCAACATGAACGGGACGGTCGTATATTTTGACTTGTCCGTCGCAGTTGATGACCTTGAGTGTTCGACGAGGCCGCTCACGGCGGTGGTTGTGTTGGTGGATGCACGAAAAGTGGCTGCTCAATAACCGAAACCACCATGGATTTACATGTTTGATACCCATTTCTTAGACCATGCAGATTTCTAACACTGAAAGGTCGACGGAGATACGGTGCCGCCGTGCTGGGGATTGAGATGAAAACGTTGAACAATATTCCAAGGGAAGACAATACTAGTAATAGGAGGCGTCCGAGAGAGGCTGGGTAATGTCTATATATGCAAATTCAAAGCATAAAATTAACTTACTGGTGAAATTCTAGTTTTGGTCCTTTCACTATCATTGAACTCAAGATTTATTTTTTATACTTTTATTTTACACAATCTATTCCTTTGCTTTTTCACAAAATGCTAGTATGCAACTTTCCATATTTTTTTTATAAAAAAATTTCCTTAACAAACCCTAGAATTGTCTCACACACATGTATCAATATAGACAAAGCTAGCTTATGAATTGTGGTGTCGTTTAAAAATAATTGACATCATAATCTAATTTTTTTAAACTTATCCTCAAATAGAACTCAAACTTAACAACAAACCATTCTATCATTGAGCTATCGAGCAATAACGAAAGATTCGTTCTCATTCTATCATTGAGCTATTGAGTTATTGACAACGCATATACACTTTGCAAATGCAACTACTATCATTGAGTTATTATTTTTATATTGTTATTGACGTGATATAAAAGATGTGGGATTGAGATCATAGTATAGAGATTATATCTTTAGTTATGTCAAATTAAAGTATGGAGATAATATCTTTAATTTGAGCATATTACAGGGACCCAAACCATAGTTTGACCAAAACATATTTATTATTATTATTGTATAGTTCAAGTACTAATACTAATCAAATTGAAAATGAGAACGCTGTAGACTTTAGACCAAAATCTAGAACAGAGACGGGGGTTAGGCAATTGGTATGTTATTTAGAATAGAAAGAGGCGTGAGACAATGGTAAACCTTTATCTTATTCTGGCAATCACTTTACTATTATTACACTTTTGGTCCCTTGTTTTTGTCCGTATTGTTTTTGTCAAATTTTGACAACATTTGCTTATGTTTGACTGAAACTTTCTTTTATTTTTTTCCCGACCTTTTGTTCCCGACGGCAATTGGGGCCATTTCGCTATCCCCCGCACTTGTGTTTTGAATCAGATCGACCGTGGTAGGTGACCGGTATCGGTCCTACTTGTTTTAAGCTACAATGGAACCGTATGGAATAGGGATAAATCAGAATCAACAAATAAAAAGCACGAGGCATTACAGGAATTATATTTTTGTAGGACTAAAGTGTAATTTTACAATTATACCTGTTGAGTTAAGATAAGAAATGCTAGATTAAGGTTGTTTATTCTTTCTAATTTAGACAAAGTACTGTTATAAATTTCATCCAAGATAATGATAATCAAGTTGTCAAAGAAAAAAAAATTGTTAGGGGCATAGATCATTCTTTTTTATATCTTCTATTGATGTTACGTGATGATATATGATAAAAAATTTATCTAAATATTTATTTTTAGATCGTTAAAAATATCATTTGATTTATTTGTTTAATTTATTCATCTTTTTGAATTTAATTAATCCACATAAATAAATAAAACAAGATCAGAAACACATGTTTGAATCATTTGGTTAGAACACCAATGGGTGGTTACCCGCACAGAAGTTTAAATATCTCAACCTAAGACTTCCTAAATTGTCAAACTCGACGTCTTGGATTGTGGGTGACCCATCCATTATTCAATTCTAGAACATCAACTTTATATTATTTATTATTTCTTTTTTAATAATAAAAGGTTGTTAAGGCTGTCTTTTGTTTCGTCTTATTATATCTTTTTTTTTTTTTTTGAGAAGACGTCTTATTATATCTTAGTTCGAGTAATAAAGTTCCTTTATCAACTACATGTTTTTCTACATTCTAATAATATATCAAAAACTATTTGATATATAAATTATATAAATTCAATTATTTTAAGATTTAAAATTTCTACCTAAGATATAAAATGTTGAGTTTAAATTTTAAAAATTTAATTTTTTTAATTTTTAATACATATATACATATATATATATATATATATATTAAATTATAGGGTTAGATTTACTTACACAAATTTAGAACTGTTAGATGAGTGAAAACAAACGACTTAGATTAATATTTTTTTAATAAATATATTATCATTTCATAATATTAATTTTTACCTCTGTTTTGAAAAGCGGACCGGACCGGCCGTTTCAACCGGAAACCGTTGCCTAGTCCGATTTAATCTAAACCGGTTAAACCGCTACTAGTAAACCGACCGGAACCGCTGAACCGTTCGAACCAGACTGGTTGAAAATCGGAAAAAACCAAAAATTTTGTTTTTTAAAAAAAAAATTAAACCAAACGTCGTTTGTTAAACGAGCCAAGTCGAACTCGAGTATTGCTGAGCTCGACTCGAACTTGAAAACTTTAAAAGTAAGCTCAACACCACTCAAACTCACAAGTTAAAAATTATCAAGTTCAACTCGAACTCGAAATATAATATTGAAACTTGAACTCAAAAAGGCTTGAACTAAAAAAAATTTAAAAGCTCAATTGAAGCCTAAAATTCGAGCTTGATTGAAGTAAAATAATAGTTCACTCAATGCTCACCAAAAGGCTCCATGATTTTAAATGTCATATTACCTCTATTATTTATAGAAGTTAGTTGTAATGCTCTTCTATGTTTCTTAGCAATGTGGGATTGTTTTGTTCTCATATTTTTACTCTTTAGACTTTTGGGATGCTCTTCTATGTTTCTTAGCCATGTGAGATTGTACCAAACAATATCATTTTGTTATGATTTTTTTAACATCAAATTTATTTTTTAATTATAGTTATACAATTATATTTATTATTTAATATGTTTTACCTTAAATATTATGTTGTAGTTAATTTGAGTCATTTTGTTTCACTTGATTTTATGGTTTTTAATTTATATATGTTATGATTTGCTTTGAATATGACTTGTGATATAAAAAATTATTTTTTATTAAATATTTTTGATATTTTTATTTAATTTTTTAAATAATTATGACGTCGTCCGTTTCTTCCGACCGGTCGGACCGGTTCGACCGATTAAATCAGTGAACCGGTAGCATGACCGGTTCGCTAACCGATCCGATTCTAAAAACTATAATTTTTACCATCTATTTTTACTTATTTAATGATCTTAAATTTATATAAAACTAAAAAAAATTACGTTTTATAATGAAATCTTATCCCATTATAGCTTATATTATATACACTTAGGTAGTCCATTCTATTCACTTCAAAGTTGGACTCTGACCCCAATATTTTTACGTGCATTGGTTAAACACTAGTGAGGTCAGGTGCAGTGCAGGCACCCATTCGTGGTTGTTAACACTTTAGCCTCAACCACAACTTTATCGATGTGCATTCTGACCTCTTTGGAAGGAATACTAAATGATAGATATCTTGTTTTTCTTAAATAATTTTGGATGATTATAAGATAGTGTCTATTCAATATATTTCTTAATTATTGATAATATATATATACCATACAATACATCTGTTCCAACCTAAAATTTCTATAATTATATTTAGATTTTTAACTAATTTATAATTATATGTTTAATACTCTTTAATTTAATTTTTTATAAATTAATTGAATGTTGCTCTTTATTAACGGTGATCATCACGCTCGACGAAGGATGTAAAATTTTTATATTCTTTAAAGCTTAAAACAGCATATATCATTGAGTTAAAATAACATCATCGAATTAGATATCTTTATTTCAGTTCAACTATATTTATATTATAATAGTAATTATTACTGTTAATATCTCAATTATGTGATGTAAAAGTTGTCTTTAAATTTTATTTTTATTTAATTAATATAGAATATATATATATATCTATTCAAATTTATTATAATTTAAACTCAAATATATTTCAATTATTCATCCAAATTATAAATATCAATTAGTTATTCTTCATAAATTAAATAATTAAAACAACAGCAACAAAAACAATAGAAAACGCTAAATTGAATTAATTCGATTTAATTAGATTCGAAGGATCATCTTTCCGCGCACTCTATGGGTGTAATTAACTAGTTAATCCTGTAGAGAGGTGTTGGGAAATGCAGAGGGAGGCGGTGGATCGGAAAGAACACAATTAGAAGTATTCATACATAGTAGCAGGAGCAACCCAGAAACTTGTTTTATATACAGTGAGCATCGGCTAAAGCAAAGGGAGAAATGAAGCTGGTTAAAAATAGGGACGTCGATGGCTGTTTATTGCTATAGCCAAGCAATACGGAGGCGCATTTGGACTGGACAAAGACGCCTCTCTCCACTATTTCCAGCAATGGTCGAACCGGTTAGGGGTTTGGGCTATCCCTCTTTAAGTTTCCCTCCACACCCTCACTATTTCCCTCTGCTTGCCCTACGCCGTCTTCTTCGAGGACGGCGCTTCTTTGCTCTTTGGCTTCTTCCCCGCCGTACTCTGCGTCTTTTCCGCTAAGCTTATGGGGGCTTCCCTTTCTTTCTGGATTGGCAGGAATCCATCTCTGCTCTCCTTTTATTCCATTTTTATATTATGATAATTGAATTATGTTATTATCATCTTAATGTTCCTGGTGGTTTTGCTTGCTTTTGCCTTTTGAATTCCTTCAATCGGTGTTCTTTTGAGCTTGAACCCTTCTCTGATTTTCTTTCAACACCGTTGTTTACTTCCTGATTCGTTTCTCCTTTGTATATTGGCTGAATGAATTGAATTATCTTTATTAATCTACTGAATTTGGGGGAACACATGGCAAGCTAAAGCCGGATAGCGTTGAACATTATCGTATTTAATTAGGTTTCCGATTACAATAGGGGTCAAAGCTGATCAACCCTTTTCCATTGTGTGTCTTAGATCAGATCTTCACTAGTGTCAATATACTTATTATATCTGCATCTATTTTAGTATCCATTAGCACTGCATTTAAGTTGTCATGGCTTATCTAAAACAACGTTTTTCACTTGTTTCCTAATTGAAGCTATTTGTGCTAGTTCTCCCACTCCAAGAACATCAGCTTTCTTGGGCATTTTTGTGGTTATCTTTATTATAGTTGTCTTAACCCGTTTTCGTCCGGGCACGAAAAATTTATTTGGCGGAAAAATTGAT